AAGTTTTACTGGATCACCATGAGATACAGTTACAAACTTGCATGATCGTGTTTCAGTCATACAATGCTTGAGCACCCATCCCTCCACCAGTGCACATTTTCCACAATCATTGTTCCCACTGTCCCACCTGCAACCCCCACCCCACCCCACTCCCTGTCTCTGTAGCAGGTACTATCCTTCTTACTCTCTCTCTCTCTCTCTCTCTCTCTCTCTCTCTCTCTCTCTTTTCCTCTCTAAATTTGGGCATTATGATTTGCAATACAGATACTAAGAAGTCATCGTGTTTGGTCTTGGTCTACTTTCAATACACATATCCCATCCTGGGCGATCCCTCCAATCATCATTTACTTAATGGTTCCTTCTCCATCCCAACTGCTTTTTCCTCCAGCACGTGGGACCGGCTTCCAAACCATGGTGTGATCCTCCTGGCCTCTATCTCTACTGTCCTTAGTTGTCAGTCTCATATTATGCTTCTTTATATTCCACAAATGAGTGCAATCATTCTATGTCTGTCCTCTTTCTGACTAATTTCACTTAGCATAATACTCTCCATGACCACTTATATGCAAATTTCATGATTCCATCTCTTCTAAGAGCTACATAGTATTCCATTGTGTAGATGTACCAGAGTATTTTTAACCAGTCATCTGTTCTTGTGCACTTGGGTTTTTTCCAGATTCTGGCTATCTTTAAACTGTGCTGCAATAAACATACAAGTGCAGATGTCATTTCTACTATATATATGTATGTATATATATACACACATATATGTATATATATTTGCATCTCTGGGATATATTCCCAGGATTTGTATTGCTGGGTCATATGGAAGCTCAATTTCTAGTTTTTGGAGGCCTGTCCATATTGTTTTCCAAAAAGGCTGGTCCAATCGGCATTCCCATCAACTGAGAGTCCCTTTCTGTCCACATCCAATTAATGTGTGCCAATTTCTGTGGTATAAGATGATACCTCATTGTTTTTTTGATTTGTATCTCCCTGATGATTAGTGATATAGAACATATTTTCATGTACCTTTTGGCCATTTGAATTTCTTCTTTTGTGGAAGTTTCAGTTCATTTCATCTCCCCATTTTTTGATGGAGTTAAGGATTTTTTTCTTGTAACTTAACTTAAGGTGAATGAGACCAGTTGTAGTTACTGGTTTTGGCATATCGAATACACAACAGATAGCTTGCCAGACTCTTCCATGCGGGCGGAATACTCTCGGTAGCTTGCCAGTCTTTCCGAGAGGGATAGAGGCTTTTGGGGCGACCTCTAATCACCCTTGTAGGTGTTACCATATTTGAACCCTATCAAATATGGTATGACAATTCCGGAAGATGGGTATTTAGTGTCTTATGATGTGTCACGTGGCCGCAAAGCGGCTGCGCGGGTCTGGAAAGCATCCTGGAGTGTGGCGACGGCAGGGTAGTGGAGGTAGTGTTTTTCTTGTAAAGTTCTGCCAATTTCTTGTATATCTTAGATATTAAGCTCCTGTCTGATGGGTCTTGGGTGAATATTTTTTCCCATTCTGTGGACTCCTTCTGTATTTTAGTCAGTGTTTCTTTTAAGGTGCAGAAGCTTCTTAGCTTAATGTAGTCCCATTTGTTTGTGTTTGTTTCAACTTGCTTGGTTAGTGGTGTTTCATTCTTAAAGATACCTTTAGCTTTAATGTCATAGAGGGTTGTGTCTACATTTTCTTCCATGTATCTTATGGATTCAGATCTGATATTGACGTCTTTAACCCATTTTGATCTGACATTAGACAGAGGTCTGAGTTCATTCTTCTGCATGCGGCTGTCCAGTTTTTCCAGCACCACTTAAGGAGGCTTTCCTTGCTCCACTTCACATTTCTTTGTCAAAGTATTAAGTGATCATATACTTAAGAGACTGTCAGAATATTCAAATCTATTCGTCTGGGCTTCTGGTCTTGTCAGTTTATTTTCATTTTGTTTCAAGAGCCTTCTTCTGCTCCAACATAAATTTATTCGTTAATAACATTCTATCTTTGTTAAAAATTAAGGGCTATACATATGTGCTATTCTCAGAAATTTTGACATAACAGAAATAAAATACAAAACAGCCTTGAGGAGAAAATGATTCTCTTAACAGTGTTCCAGGTCAGTACTTGGCCAACCAGGATAGTTGGTTTAATACTCAGGCAAGGTGATATGTTGCTGTTTGGTATTTGAAGTACTGGCAACCTCAAGGATCACATTTTGTGATGTTCAGGGTGCTGTGTGGTGCTGGATATGAACTTGGGTCCCTTTCCACTGAACTATTTCTCCAGCCCCTATTTTGTTAGTCATCTTGTAGCTCCCTTATATTTAAATTATTTATTATTTAATATAATTTAATGTTTACTATTTATGATTTAGAGGAATTCAATCAATATTTAGTGTTTAACATTTGCATATTTAAATATTTAATGGTGTGTGGAGGTGAAACTTATTTACTTCTGTATTAAGGGGAATTTTTTTAAATGCATTTTTCTATTTGTGATTTTCACAAGATAGGCTCCTTTGGTCTATTTTCCTCTAGGATTAATTATTGAAAGAAAATTCAAAGTTGCTTGAAATCATTGACTCATTCATTTAAAGAAAAACACTATAACTCACGAGAAATAATGATTATAAGAATCACAAAGATATTCAAAAGAAATGTCTCTGAGTTAACAGGAAGAAATGCATCATATTGATTATATAAGAAATGATAATTTGCATATCCAGGTGACAATTGTGTCATTTCCATGGAAAATGGGGAAGGATACTAAATCATATAAATTGGTGGTGACTGTGACAACTGTTTCTAGATCCCACACTCAGATGACATCACTTTACATAAATTTATGTCATTTTTGTAGCACAGAAACCTTGTTTCTATATGTTTAGCATAGAAATGGTGGAACTTAAACTATGAGGTTGATTGAGACCAGTTATTGAGAAGTAATCAGTTTAAAGTGATTTCTGAAGACTTTTTGATGCACCGTATCTCATAAAAACCTGTTGAACTTCATAGGACCCTTAAAAAAAACCCGTTCTCACAACTACAATTTTCACTCAATTTTATCCCTTCTAATCTAACCAGAAATATTATTGAGGTTATTGGGTTACAATTTTTTAGATAAGAATATGATGATAGTCTTTTTACTTTCTTGACTCAACTCAGAACCATAAACAGTGTTATTATGTGTGCATTCTGAGCATAAATGCATATGTGGACTCATATTTGACTTCCTTTCCAGTACTGTTTTTCTTAGCTGCTTAGTTAAAGTGAAACCACGACTTGAATAACTTTATCATAAGGTTAGTCCCGCTTCTTTTCAATCAAGATAAAATAGAATAAATCTGAACTAGCAAAACAAAGTTGTCAGTTAAAATTCTTAGTTTTATTAAAATTTTCATTTATGGAAGTTAACAAAAAAAGATTTTCCTAATTTGTTGGAAGATACTCTTAAACCCGATTTATGTCTTCAAAGACTTCAGTACTTTAATAAGATAACCTTTATTCTAAACAAAAACATCCATACCTTGTTTCTTTTCACCAGTTTCATGGTTTTGATGATCAGACTGTGTCTCCTCCACTTGATCAGTTCTCTGGATGCATCTCATCTCCTGCATCATTTCTCTTCAAGGTCTTATTGTTAATGTAAAAAGACGGCTGCTTTCACTGGCAGGTCATCAAAGTTATGTTACCTTGAAAAGTGAAACGAACTTGAAACAGTGTTTCTCAAAATTGAGTTACCCTATGACTAAACTGAATCATACTGGTTTCTTCTAATTTGTTTTTCCTGTGACAAAATTACTATGCAGGAAGAAAGCTTAGTCTTGAGAAAGAAAAGTCCTAGGAATAAATACAAATGTACGTAATCTTACTCTCTCAACAGAGAATCATCATCTTATTATCTGCATTGATGCTAAAATACTCTCAATGATTTTGAAATGGACACAATATAAATAGGGAAACTTAAGACAATAATTTTCCCTCTCCAATGAAGTATTTTACTATATATATATATATATATATATATATATATACACACACACACACATATAGATAGTTAGAGAGGTACTGTGATTTACAATACTGTTATTGGTGCCATCATTTTATAATTAACATAATGCAAGGGTGGAAAGGAATGCACAATCCTGTATCAGCTTGTGACTCTAATAATATGCTTGTAAAGCTGTATAAATATAATTGTTGTTATAAGTTATTAATTAATTAATTTGCTCGAGCGGGCCCAGTAACGTCTCCATTTGGAGACTTTGTTGTTACTGTGTCTGGCATATCGAATCCTCTCGGTAGCTTGCCAGGCTCTCCGAGAGGGGCGGAGGAATCGAACTCGGGTCGGCCATGTTGGCCGCTTGTAAGGCGAAGGCCCTACCCGCTGTGCTATCGCTCCAGCCAAATAATTGGGACTTCATGCTTTGGAGTCTCCAAAACCTTTTTCAGATCGTAGTATCTGTGGTCAGAGCCTTTTGCCACAGAGAAGCATCTCATTCTGCAAACTTCCTTCCCCAAATTGAGACCACAAGAAAAATTCTAGATTTTACTGTATTTTCTGGACCCTCCTATTCTCATGGTTATCTTCTAGAGTATTAGTCATTTTCAGCCTTCCCTTTTACTGGAAATAGAGCTACATGCATACTAATGTAGTGTGCAATTACATTATATCATACTGTAATCACTTGTGATGTTTTGATTCAAAACTGAGGTCTCCACTTAGGTGGAAGTATGCATGCTGCATTCTTAGGCCGTCGAAACTATGACACAAAAATTCTACAGATTATTCTCATTTTAGTTTCCGTAAGAGTAGGACATAACTACTTCTCTTTGAGACTCAACGACAGTAACAAAAATCAATTAAAAGACAGATTTTAGGATCACTTGATCACTTGACTTCCCGTTAATTGTCGATTTGCTCAAGCAGGCACCAGTAACATCACCATCTGTCCTTGTTGCGTGCTGGTGTAGCCCAATGGTGTCTGTTTGTTCTAGGAACACGAGAGCCTCAAACCAATCGTTCAGGATCTTGATGAAGAAGTCTGACCATCTGGTAGGTGGGAGGCCACGCGATCTTTTGAAGTCCCATGGAATCCAGTCAGTAACAGCTCTAGTACAGCAGTCATCTCCAAATCTCATTATGTGTCCAGCCCATCTGATTTTTGACGCCTTGGCAAACAAGACAGCATCTGTGATTCTTGATCCTCGACGAAGGTCTGGACTCTGGATTCTTTCTCTCATTTGAGTGAAACGTGATACTCCAAGCATAGCTCTTTCAATTCCTCTGTGGGAGACCCGAATAGCATTCTCATCCTGTTTGCATAAAACCCAGGTCTCTGAGGCGTAAGTTAATGCAGGAAGAACAGTGGAATCATGTCTTCATGAGATTCAGCTGTAGTCCGACCTTTCCACACTCATGGTCAAAGTCGGCTAGCATTTGTGCTGCTTGGCTAATGTTTGGTGTTATTAGAACAATGTCATCAGCAAAGTGGAGGTGGTGTAGTTGCCGACCATCTATCTTCACTCCCACTCCTTCCCATTCCAGTCGTCGCATGATGTTCTCGAGGGTGGTACTGAAGAGTTTCGGTGAAATGGTATCACCCTGCCGAACCCCCCTCTTGACATTGATGATTACTTCTTTGTAGAATGGTGAGAACCTGCTAGTGAATCTGTAATACAGCTCATGGAAGATCCTGATGTATTGAGTATGAATGCCCTGATTGGCTAGGGTTTCAAAGACCGCTTCTGTCTCAATAGAATCAAAGGCCTTCTTTAAATCAATGAACATTAGACAGAGCGGCATCTTGAACTCCCGAGAAACCTCAATGAGCTTGGTTATCGTGTGGATATGGTCAATGGTGCTGAATCCTTTGCGGAACCCAGCTTGCTCATATGGTTGTCCTTCATCTAGTGTTCTGCCAATCCTATTTAGGATGACTCAAGTGAACAGCTTGTAGATGACAGATAATAGGCAGATAGGGCGATAGTTGCCAATATTGTGGGTATCTCCCTTCTTGTCCTGCTGGTTTTCCATTGCGATGGAACCTTGCATTCAGACAGGTAGCTTGTGAAGAGCTGGAGCAATGTGTTGATGAGTACTGATGGCAGGTTCTTCAGGTGTTCAGGTCTGACATTGTCTGGGCCAGGTGCTGTTCATTTCTTTACCGACAAAATGGCATGTTGGATTTTGGAAGGGAGAACATTGGGAACGACATTTCCATCCTGTGGAATTTGGTATGTCTGCTCTTCTCTCTTTGAGGTCTTCCTTGATCGCATCTTTGCACAGCTTTGCAAGCTTGAATGTTTGCTTGCGGTTGCCTGAGACATGCGCCAAAACACGTTGGCAAATAAGCTCAAGTGTTTTTGAAGACAGGCATTTTTTTGTGGCTATCTCTCTCTTGGCATTCCTCACACAGTAATGGAGGTGCTGAACCAGTCTATCGTATTCCTCATCAATGTTGTCAATGACAGCATCTTCCCATCTTGCTGCAACAGAGCCAAAGAGCTCCCAGTTGGTGGTCGTTCTGGGAGTTCTCTTCTTAAACTTTGCAGCCCTTTCTCCCCGCTCTGTGAAGTAGAATTTTGCATGAAGGAGACAGTGGTCCGATCCCATTTTGGGACAACAGCGATATCGGTCAGGCAAAATCGTTGATTGAATATGATGTGGTCTATTTCGTTGTTGAACCATCCACCAGGAGGCTCCCATGACCAACATTTAGATTTGGCCTTCTGGAACTGTGAGTTACCATGGATGGTCTTGGGTGACATGATGAACTCAGACAGTCTCTCACCCTCTTCATTCCATTCTAAGCCATGGGTCCCGATGTGGAGTTCTTCGGCTGATCTTCTTGGTCCTATCTTGACATTAAAATCACCGACAATGATCTTGTACAAGGTGTGGTCTTCTTTATAGAACTTCTCTAGATCCATGTAGAACTTCTCAATTTCTCCTTCATCATAATTGATGTTGGTGCACAGACAATGAAGATAGAAACTGCCAGCAGTGAGCCACATCTATTCAAGTGTAAACCTCCGGTCGAGTCTCACGCACGACTGAAGTCCCACAGAACAAGATAAGCTGAACTCTGAGACCTTGGACTCCAGGCTCAACGGACCCAGGGACAGAGATTCTCTGCTTGCTCCCACTAACCACAGGTGATGAAGGGATTACAATAAGAAGCCCCACCCTACCCTTCCCTGTCTGCTTCCACTAACTGCCAGAGACCCAGGGATTTGATTGCACACAGAAGACCCACCCTACCCCTACAGGTAGAGATAAATACCTCACCAGCAGACCTCCACTACCTCCACTAGCTCCACTACCCATCTGCCGCCATGCTCCAGGATGCTTTCTGGACGCTCAGGCCGAGAATGACGCATGACTGAAGCCCCTCTGATGTTGAGGTCTTTAATCCATTTTGATCTTACCTTTGTACATGGTGTTAGGCAGAGTTCTGAGCACATTTTTTTGCATGTAGCCATCCAGTGATGCCAGCACAATTTGTTAAAGAGGCTTTCCTTACTCCACTTCACATTTCTTGCATCTTTATCAAAGATTAGATGATCATATGATTGAGGGGAGATGTCAGTGTATTCAACTCTGTTCCATTGGTCTGCAGTTCTGCCTTTGTTCCAGTAACAAGCTGTTTTGATTATGACTGCTTTGTAGTAAAGTTTGAAGTTAGGGAGGTTGATTCCTCCCATTTTCTTTTTCCCAAGAATTGCTTTAGCTATTCGTGGGGGCTTATTGTTCCATATCAATTTCAGGAGTGTTTGCTCCATTTCTTTGAAGAATGTCATGGGTATCCTTATAGGCATTGCATTGAATTTATACAATGCTTTTGGTAGTATGCCATTTTGACAATGTTAAGTCTCCCGACCATTGAGCAGGGGATATCTTTCCATTTCCTCATGTCCTCTTTTATTTCCTGAAGTAGCGTTTTGTAGTTTTCTTTGTACAGGTCCTTTATTTCCTTACATAAGCTGATTCCTAGGTACTTGATTTTCTGGGGCACAGTTGTGAACGGGATTGATTTTTTCATGTGGCTTTCCTCTCTCTCACTGTTTGCATGTAGGAAAGCCATGGACTTTTTGGTATTGATTTATAGCCTGCAACTTTACTATACAAGTCTATTGTTTCTAGGAGTTTTTTGGTGGAGGTTATTGGGTTCTCTAAGCATAGTATCATATCATCTGCGAATAGTGAGAGCTTGATTTCTTCCTTTCCTACATGAATGCCCTTAATATCTTTTTCTTGCCTAGTCGCTATTGCAAGTACTTCCAGTACTGTATTGAACAGCAGTGGAGAGTGTGGGCATCCTTGTCTCGTCCATAATCTTAGAGGGAAGGCTCTCAGTTTTTCCCCATTGAGAATGATGCTTGCTGTAGGCTTGTGGTAGATGGCTTTAACTATGTTGAGGAAAGTCCCCTCAATACCCATTTTGGCTAGGGTATTCATCATAAAGGGGTGCTGGATCTTGTCAAATGCTTTCTCTGCATCTACTGATATGATCATATGCTTTTTATCTTTTCTTTTGTTGATATGATGGATTATGTTGACTGAATTCCGAATGTTAAACCATCCTTGCTTCCCTGGGATGAATCCTACTTGGTCATGGTGTATGATCTTTTTGATGAGTAGTTGGATTCTATTTGCTAGTAGTTTGTTGAGGATCTTTGCATCTGTGTTCATCAGGGATATCGGCCTGTAGTTCTCTTTCTTTGTGTTATCTCTGTCTGCTTTTGGTATCAGTGTGACATTTGCTTCGTAGAAACTGTTCGGAAGTGTATTTGATATTTCAATTTCGTGGAAAAGCTTAAAGAGGATTGGGAGTAAGTCTTCTTTAAAGATTTGGAAGAATTCACTAGTGAATCCATCCGGGTCAGGGCTTTTGTGCTTGGGGAGACTTTTTATTACCATTTCAATTTCCTTGATGGTGATAGGTCTGTTCAGGTATTCCAGGTCTTCTTGGTTCAGCCTTGGGAGTCTGTAGGAGTCTAGAAATTTATCCATATCCTTGAGGTTTTGATGTTCCATGGCATAAAGCTACTCAAAATATTCCCTGAGGATACTTTGAATTTCTGTAGTTTCTGTTGTAATGACCCCCTTTTCATTTCTAATTCGGTTTTTTAGGGTTTTCTCTCTCCCTTTCTTTGTGAGTTTTGCTAGGGGCTTATCGATCTTCTTAATTTTCTCAAAGAACCAGCTCTTGATTTCATTGATCTTTCGGATTGTTTTTTGGGTTTCCATCTCGTTAATCTCTGCTCTGGGTTTTATTGTTTCCTTCCTCCTGTTAGGGTTGTGCTCCTTTTGTTGGTCATTCTCCAAGTTCTTAAACTGTGAGGTTAGTTTATTTATGTGGGCTCGCTCCTCCTTTCTGAGGAATGCTTGTAGAGCTATAAACTTTCCTCTTAAGACAGCTTTTGCTGTGTCCCATAAATTTTGGTAACTCGTGTCCTCATTTTCATTCGTTTCTAGGAATCTTTTGATATCCTCTTTAATTTCCTGTCTAAGCCACTCGTTGTTCAATAGCGCACTGTTTAATTTTCAGGTGTTTGATTTAGTTTTCTGTTTTTGTGTGTGATTTACTTCTAATTTCAGTGCATTATGGTCTGAGAAGATTGTTGATATAATCTCTATCTTCTTAACTTTATGGAGGCATGTTTTGTGGCTCAGCATGTTGTCTATCTTGGAGAATGTTCCATGTACGCTTGAGAAGAATGTGTATTCAGATTTTTGTGGATGAAGTGTCCTGTATATATCTACTAAGTCCCTTTCTTCCATTGTTTCCCTCAGATGAAGTATGTCCTTGCTAAGCTTGAGTCTGGTTGATCTATCAAGAGGTGACAAAGCGGTGTTGAAGTCTCCCACTAGTATTGTGTTGCTATTGATGTCTTTTTCCAAATCTATGAGTAGTTGTTTTAATTACTTTGCTGGTCTTTCATTAGGTGCATATACATTTATTATTGTAAGTTCTTCCTGTTGTACAGATCCTTTGATCAATAGGAAATGGCCTTCACTCTCTCTTATGACCTTCACTCTGAAATAGATGTGGTCTGATATTAGGATGGCTACCCCAGCTTTTTTCTGGGAGCTGTTTGCCTGTAGGATTGTTTTCCAGCCTTTGACTCTGAGTCTGTGTTTGCTTTGACTATTGAGATGTGTTTCTTGAAGGCAGCAGAAAGTTGGGTTCAATTTTCTAATCCATCCTGCGACTCTATGTCTTTTAATTGGTGCGTTTAGCCCATTGACATTGAGAGAGATTATTGTTATGGGATTTTGTCCCATTGTTCTGTTGAAATTAGGTGTATTTGAGGGGACTGTCTTGCCTTAAAGTAGCCCATTTAGTTGTACTTGTAACCATGGTTTTGAGTCTATGAAGTTCCTGAGCTGTTATTTGTCTGTGAAACTGTGTGTTGTTCCTTCTATTATGAATGAGAGTCTCGCTGGGTAAAGTATTTTTGGAGAGGCATTTATTTCATTGAGTTTTTTCACTATGTTCCACCACTGTTTTTGGGCCCTGAGGGTTTCATCAGAAAAATCAGCTGTGAATTTTAAGGATGCTCCTTTGTAAGAGATTTCTTTCTTCGATCTTGCTGCTTTCAGAATTTTGTCTCTGTCTAAAGTTTTGGTCATTTTGATCAGGATGTGTCTTGGGGTATTTTTATTCGGATTTCTTCTAGCTGGTACCCTTCAGGCCTCCTGAATGTGGTCACAAGTTTTCTTCAGCTCTGGAAACGTTATAGCAATGATATCTTTGACAGTTTCTTCTTCATCAAGGTTTTCTTTCTGTCCCTCTGGGACTCCAATAATTCTTACGTTAGCCCTCTTGGCTTCGTCACAATCTTCTCTTGCCATCTGTTCCCGAACTTTGAGTCTCTTTTCCATTTCCTGCTCTTTTCTGGCGAGTCTCTGAACTTCATCTTCGAGCTCACTGATTCTGTTCTCAGCCGCTGTTACTCTGCTGCTGAGGCCTTCCACTGAGTTTTACAATTCGCCTACCAGGTTTTTCAGGTCCGACATTTCCAATTGCATTTAAATCATTTCTGCCTTCAAATCCCCTTGTCTTTTATTGGCATTGCTTTCCATTGTTTCTTTTAGTTCCCTAAGCATCCTAAGTAGCTCCCTTCTGAATTCCTTGTCAGAGAGGTTGTCTAAAGCTACAGTACTCTGGGTGTCTTCTGGGCTAGCCTCGTGAATAAGAAAGTTTGGTGGGTTTTTGCGTTGCTTTACCTTTGTGACCAGTGTGGTTTTCTCCACAGTAACGTTCACTGTTACTATTCTGGTTGAGTGAGGAGAGACTGCCAGGAGCAGTTCAGCTTTGTTGCTGCTAGATGGACCTCTTCTACCTTTCTGAGTCTGACCTTCTTCTCAATCAGGCGTTATTCTTTGTTTTATAACTGACAACAAGTGAAACTGTTGGAGGAGGTGCTATTTAATACTGAGCTTGTACAGCTATTTTCAAACAGGACTTTTGTTGGAAATGGAGTAGGCGAGTGGGATGTTGTTGAATTATAGTAGAAGAGGTGAGAAATTTTTGGTTGGTATTAGGTGAAAAGTTGATGAAAAGGATGAAAGGATGAAAGTCCAAATTGCTTGGAGTGAGTAATATACCTGCGGCCGCTAAGCTGCCGCCCACCAGAAAGACGGCCACGCCCACTGTTGGGAGGCCACGCCCCTTCTTAGAGGCCACGCCCCTACCCAGTCCCAGGCCACTCCCTCCCAGGATCCTGGATGGTGGGGGGGGCTGATGGACTGCTGGGCAGGCCGGTCCCCGAGCTGGACGCGGGGCGGGGCCTCTGCAGGGCCTACGCGCTGTCTTTCGGCGGGGATTGGTTGGCGGCGCACGGCTGGGGTCAGGGGCGGGTCTCGGCTGGGCTCCTCCAACCTACCTGGATGGGGGGCGATGGACTGCTGGGCCGGCCGGTCCCGGAGCTGCATGTGCGGCGGGGCCTCCGTGCTGTCTTTCGGCGGGGATAGGTGGGCCACGTGCGGCTGGGGTGAGGGGCAGGTCTCGGCTGGGCTCCTCCAACCACCTAGATGGAGGGAGGGGTGATGGACTGCTGGGCAGGCCGGTCCCGGAGCGGGACGCGCGGCAGGGCCTCCGCGCTGTCCTTTGGCGGGGATCTGTGGATGGCGCGGCTGGAGTCAGGGGCGGGTCTTGGCTGGGCTCCTCCAATCCACCTGGATGGGGGCGGGCCGATGGACTGCTGGGCGGGCTGGTCCCGGAGCTGGACGCGGGGCGGGGCCTCTGCAGGGCCTACGCGCTGTCTTTCAGCAGGGATTGGTTGGCGAAGCACGGCTGGGGTCAGGGGCGGGTCTCGGCTGGGCTCCTCCAACCTACCTGGATGGGGGGCGATGGACTGCTGGGCCGGCCGGTCCCAGAGCTGGATGTGCGGCGGGGCCTCCGTGCTGTCCTTCGGCGGGGATAGGTGGGCCACGTGCGGCTGGGGTGAGGGGCAGGTCTCGGCTGGGCTCCTCCAACCACCTGGATGGGGGGGGGGGCGCCGATGGACTGCTGGGCAGGCCGGTCCCGGAGCGGGACGCGCGGCAGGGCCTCCGCGCTGTCCTTTGGCGGGGATCTGTGGGTGGCACGCGGCTGGAGTCAGGGGCGGGTCTTGGCTGGGCTCCTCCAATCCACCTGGATGGGGGCGGGCCGATGGACTGCTGGGCGGGCTGGTCCCGGAGCTGGACGCGCGGCAGGGCCTCCATGCTGTCCTTTGGCGGGGATCGGTGGGCGGCGTGCGGCTGGGGTGAGGGGCGGGTCTTGGCTGGGCTCCTCCAACCCACCTGGATGGGGAGGGCAATGGACTGCTGGGCGGGCCGGTCCCGGAGCTGGACGCGAGGTAGGGCCTCCGAGCTGTCCTTTGGCGGGGATCGGTGGGCGGCGCGCAACTGGGGTCAGCTGGTGATGAAATTTAAGTTATACTTTAACCTGGTTACAAAACCTCCCACACTTTCCCCTCTAAAAAATGTAAACATCTGAAAGCACACATACAACATGTGAATGCATACATACAACAACTATAAAAAAGAGAAGGGAAAGTAAAAATTAGGAAGTTTTTTTTTGTTTGTTTGTTTTTTTTGTTTTTTGGCTTTTGGGCTATACCCAGTAGTGCTCATGGCTTACTCCTGACTCTACTTGCTAGGATCACTTCTGGCTTAGCTGGGGGTCTCAAGTAAAGTGCTGGGAATCAAACTGGGCCAGGCACATGCAAGGAAAATGTCCTACCTGCTGAACTATCTCTCTGGACCAAGAGAAACTTTTAAACACTCTAAGTGTCATCCTCCATGTTTAAAATGACAATGCTATTACCTTATGTTATAAGTTTCAGAGCACAATATTACTTTCAAACCTGTCATCTGCAGAATTTACAGATGATCTCATAACCCCACCACCATTTAAGTCTATCTGCATACCTATACATCAATCTGTCTTTTATGGAGACAATGAAAGTGAAGCAGCTGATACTCCACAGCTAATTCAGGATTCACTACACAATTTAAAAATAGGACCACAGTGAGGGAATGGAAAAAAGAGCTTTTTCAAATTAGTATCTCCTGACCAGATGTGGAACTTGCTCAGGCAATGAAACTACATCTTGTGCAATTATAATTAAAATAAACAGCTCACCAGAAACCTATTGTCATTCTCCAGTCTCAGTCTTCTATACAAGCCAAATAAATACATGAGTTGAATAGAAACCACAGCTTCTGCATTTTCAAGTCCTTGATGGTAACAATCTCTGCAATTCTTTTTTTCTTTCTCTGCAACTCTTTTGTCTTCTACTTAACTGTTTTGTAAAGTTACACATCATAGTGGTTTCCACACTTTCCAGCATAATTACACACATTTCACAAGGCAGGGAACTAAAGTATGGTTGTTAAGAATATATATATTTTAATTATGGATTCTACAACTTGAGAAATAACCAAAGAATGGTCCAAGGGTCTTTTGAGCTCACTGTCAGGTGAGACTTCATGTACCACTTTTTCCTCTGTAACTCCTTATTCTAATTAATGAATCACACTTCTTATCCTCTGAAATTAGTGTTAGTTCAGAGAGTGCATGCATATCTCCTCAAAGATCAGGTATTTCCCTTTTCCCCTAAATCCTGAATACAATGGTAATAGGTCATAGTTTCCTGTGGCGAAAACTGAACAATGAATGAATCAAATTTTGATTGTAGACTGGGGTTCTTCCTCAAATAAATCCAGCCTGTTCCTCCTCATGCCAGAGGTTCTGGGTCTGTAAATTCACGTCAAGGAATTCATTGAGGGGCGATTATAAGTCTCATTATAGGTCTAGAACCAGAGAGTGGTGAGGCTGCGTTCAGATGAGAATCTACATCAGATTGCATGTCAGCGGTTTCAGAAAAAGTCATTTTCATGTCCTCAAACAATGCAATGATGATCACTTGAATAGAGTGACAGAAAAGCCTGTCTGGTGGTGGAGAAGCTGATACTACTGTGAGTGTAAAGAGACCACTTTCTGTGGAATTGGGGCATCCCACTGGGAGTGAGGATATTTCTCTAATTGGCAACAAAACTGCATTAACATCTAGGGACTCTATATTCCCACACTTAAGAGAATTTTCCTTTATGACCCTGTTCCAACTTGCAGCATCCTATTCTTTTCCAAGTTAGCAGTAAATATTGCAAGGTCAAGAGTTCAACTTTCACTGTGCATCAACTGGTTTCTATAGGAAACTTTGTGCTTGATTTTTCAGTGATTTCATTCCCATCGTTTGGATCACCTTTCATCATGCTATGAATCACCATTCATCATGGTATGAATCACCATTCATCATGGTATGAATCACCATTCATCATGGATGACCATTTGGATCACCATTCATCATGTTATTAATCACCTTTTAGTGTACACGTGCAAGTTTGCACGTCATTCAAGCAGAGGCTTGAGCTCAGATTTGAATTCTGGGATTCATTGTTTCTTTTCACTTCTTTGTCATTTTTTGAGAAATCATCCAACCTCTTTATAGTTACTATTTTTAATAAATGTTTGTAAATATTATATATGCACTTAACTTTGTTTCCCTCCCTTCCTTCCTCCCTCCCTGCCTTTCTCCTACCCTCCCTCTCTCCCTCTCTCCTTTTCTTTCTTTCTTTCTTTTCTTTCTTTTCTTTCTTCCTTTATTTTTCTCTCCCTCTCTTTCTCCCTTCCACTCTTTCTTTCTCTCTCCCTCTCTTCCTTTCTCTCTCTTTCTTTCTTTCTTTCTTTCTTTCTTTCTTTCTTTCTTTCCTTCTTCCTTCCTTTCTTTCTCCTTTTTCTTTGGTGTTTGGTCTACAGCTGGCAATATTCAGGTTATTCCTGGCTCTACACTCATAAATCACTCCTGACAGTGCTTGGGGAATCATAAAGGATGCTAGAGATTGAACTTGTCATGTGCAAATCCTTGCGTGCAGTACTGTCTCTACAGCCCCAGTTTTTTGTTTCTTATAAATGATTCTCTAGGCTTAGCATGTATCTAATACCAGATATTTCCATGAATTATCAATATTCTTGTAACAACTGAAAATAAATTACTAATAAACAGAAAAGAACCAATTTCAGCACCTCTCTGGCATTCTGTTTAGGGAGGCTTTGAGATCCAGCAATCTGAAGATAGTGAACTAGAGATCCAGGAGAGAAGGTTCTATAACTCCTGCCTAAATCTGAATGCCTGAGAACCAGGAGGTCAATGACATAAGTTCTTGGTACTAACAAAGAGAAGAAAACGTTGATATCTAAGTACAAAGATAGGCAGAAAAAAAGTAAATTCTCCTTTCATTTGTTTCTGAACACACTGAATTAAGACTTTCACCCTGACGAATGTAATCTTGTTTGTCCACTTGACCAATTTAAATGCTAAATTTCACCCAGGAATACCCACTGAGATAAACAACAACAGCAAAAAATGTTTACCCATGTTATTCTGGACACTTTTAGGACCAAACTAAGATAACTTAGCAAACCGATCACAGAGTGTTTTGAGTCAGACATTAATCTGTCCCTAAACTGCCATGTGGAATCATCTAAGTAAAAATGAAATTGCTTGACTCAATAATTTTGTGGCTGCCAAAATAAGAGAGCTCATCTGATCAAGATAAAATATTCTACATCCTGACTTCCTGTCTGGAAACTTCTGCCCATCAATCAGACACAGATGAGTGGACTTTCCAAGTGTCACCAAAAATGAGTTAACTTGCAGTCATTTCTCTGTTGCATTCATTGAAACCCCTCTGCCCTTTAGTTGGTGCAACCCCCGGGCTCTCCTTTCATCATTTACCATGGTATGGCTGCTGTCTTTTAAGGAACAGATGATAATTATATTACAGCATTCTTGCTGACACACCATTATCTTCCAGGTTGGAATTATAAACTCAGTTGCCTAGGGAAGGTAAATATTTGGCTGGGGGTTTCTGTGCAGATAAGAATCATTGTGAAGGAAAAACGACTTTGAATTCAGAGGTTGTTCAGAGTTTAGTCTCAACCTTTGTTTCTGCTGCATTGTCTGCTAAGTATGTCCATCTCAGGCAGGGGCTGGTGTAGGCAGACATTAGGGGACTTCCTTTTAGATCTCTTTAGATAATATTTTGATTTTATGGCCCTTTGAAATTCATTGTCTAGGATCCACTTACCTGCCTGCCTGTGGACAAGGGAAGGATGCAATAACAAGTGTTACTGTTTGCACATTGGTTGTGTTAAAAGGGCATGGATCGAGATCTCCATTTAATGACAAAGAGACTCCAGAGACTGCAAACAGCAAACAGGGTTAATTGCAAGACTGGCTAGCTAGGGTCGAGCCACCTACGCAGACACACAGGTCTGGCAGGATGGGCAAGACCCTGAGCTTCTCCAAAGGAAATCTTATATTACAGTCATTACAGCAGAGCCTACACATTTCATAGCCAATAGATTCGTAACAACAGATAATTTCCTAACCAATCCATTTAAGAGTATATCACTCCTTAGCCTATAGTTTAAAGATCAGCATTTGCATCAGTGCTTAGGAACATCCTGGTTTTTAGGGCAGTCCTGGGTTTTGTGATATGGGTCTGACTGCCCCCTTCTCGTGACTTGCAACTCGGGGCAGCTGTATCCAAATTCCTTGCTCAGGGGCAGAAAAACAAGTTATTTTGCAATGTGGGTTCCTGTAAAGAGGATCTTAATAAGCTATCTAGACCCGTTCCTTACAGTTGAATCATGATGAAAGGCCAGTGCGGTAGGAACACTGTACACAGCAGAACTTGGTGATAAAATCAAGCATTAAATTTTAGAAATATTTAATTTGAACCACTGAGAAGCCAAGAAATTAGCTGAGTGTGTTTTATATATTTTATAGAACTCAAAGAATGTTTTAGAATTATCTCCAGCAGTTGCTGGGGGGAGGGGAAGTACTAATTAAGGTCATGATTATATCTGAGGGCTTTCTTGAAAAGAACACATAATGGAAGAGGAAGTTCTTTAGGACTAAAGAAAATCTGATGTAAAACAGGTACTGAAGTGCCAAAGGTAAACAAACAGAGTGGACCCCCAAAGTGGTCAAACAGGGAATGGCCATGGCAAGCAGGCTTCCAACAAGGCACACAAAAATGTGTTAACATCTCTTCAAGATGGGGGAACAACAAAATGAAAGAACTCCTGACTGCTTACTCACTTCAAGTCCTGAGGTGCAGGTGCCAGTTAAGGGAGTCACTTAAGGTTTGAATCTGTTGTAGATTAACTATCAATCAGAGAGGATGGGGGAATATTAGGACATCATGTTATTGTTGTTTGTTTCTTGGGCTATACCCAGCAGAACTGAGTTGTGGGATATGTGGTGAGAGAGATGGCATCCAAAGACACGTCTTACAAGTGCTGTACCACTTGGACACTCATATAAGCAATTTCATCTCAACTCTACTATCCAGGTATGCCCCAAAGAGGAATGATTATTTAATTTTTTTTGCGATTTTTATACATTTATTGTTACTTGAGGCTGGAGCGATAGCACAGCAGTATGCCGTTTGCCTTGCACGCAGCCAGTCCAGCCAAGCCAGGTTCGATTCCTCCGCCCCTCTCGGAGAGCCTGGCAAGCTACCGAGATATCTTGCCCACATGGCAAAGCCTGGCAAGCTACTCGTGACGTATTCAATATGCCAAACACAGTAAGAACAATCTCAAAATGGAGACGTTACTGGGCCTGCTGGAGCAAATCAATGAACAATAGGAGGACAGTGTTCGTTTTGTTGTTACTTAATTTTTTTAAATACTTTATTCTTCCCTCTCTCCTTCCCTCTCTCTCTCCCTCTCTCCCTTCTTCTCTCTCCCACTCTCCCTTTCTCCCTCTATCCCTCCCTCTCTCTCTCCCTTGCTCTCTCCCCCTCTCTCTCCTTCTCTTGCTCCCTCTTTCTCCCCCTCTCTCCCTCCCTCTCTCTCAGGAGCTAGAGCGATAACACAACGGGTAGGGTGTTTGCCTTGCACGTGGCCAGCTTGGGTTAGATTCCTCCGTCCCTCTTGGAGAGCCTGGCAAGCTACCGAGAGTATTCCGCCTGCACGGCAGAGCCTGGCAAGCTTGCCATAGTATATTCAATATGCCAAAAACAGTAATAACAGTAATAACAAGTCTCACAATGGAGATGTTACTGGTGCCTGCTAGAGCAAATCGATGAACAATGAAAGGACAGTGCTACTTTATTCTTACTAGTCCGATGCTGATTTTGTTAGTCATTGATTTGATCTATTTTCTTCCCATACTACCCTTTTTACTATAATATAAAAGACATGGAAGTAGAAAATATGTTTTTCTTGCTTACTTTATGGGCTCACTTCCTATTACATTTATTTATACAATAAATGATTGTTTAAAACGGTGACACAAAAATCACCAACATTGCAATAAATATAAATTTAGCCAGAAATTAACTTATCTGTCCCTGTCATCACCACTATATCCTGTGTGGTTTCTGATGGGCAATACCTGAGTAAATTTAGACTACTTGTGACTTCCATTGTAGTTTTGGTACATTGTACCCAGAGGAAATAGCCAAGGCTGAGGCTATTTTCCACTTTTGTTTTACTATTCAAGGAGTTAATATAGCCAACAAAATGGAAAATGAAGATGGTTATATGACATTGGCACGCAGGATTCATTTCAAATCTGAGCAGACATCTAAAGGTAAGAATATTGTTTTCCTTCATTCAGAAATTAGTCTAAAATAATAGTATTGTTGGGACTGGAGAGATGGTATAGCAGGTAGTCTGGTGCCTGCATTGCATGTGACAACCCGTTTTGATTCCTGGCACCCCATAGAATTCCTCATTGTACCAAGTAGTGATCCCTGAGCATAGAGCAAGGAGAGAGCCCTGAGCACTACTGACTGTGGTCTGCGAACCAATAAAATTAAATAAAATTGCAGTTTTCAATGGTGGAAACATTTCTCATAGAAATGTTACTGTCGTTGAACATTTTTAAGTTTGAGATTTTCATAAATGGTTATAAATGATCTAAAATAGGTATTTGTTTATAGCCCAGGGTCAGAGCAGTGATAATAAGATAATGCACAGTGTCCTACAGGTTGGAACACAAAAACAGCACTGCAACTGTCAAGTAAAAGAAAGTAGTGTTTTTGCAGAAATTATTCCTCCTACAAAATAAATGAGTTATAGAAGCAATGCTTTGGATGTAACGTCTTTCTGAAGGTGCTGATTCTACTCAGAAAATCCCAGTGACTTTGGTGGGAGTAAAGATCTGAGTGTATTCATGTTTTACAGCACAAAGACATGTTTTAATGTACATGCATGTGTGCTTTAGTCTTCACCCCAAAAAGAACATGAGATTGTTGTCCTAGACCATGGGAATGAGAGAAGGGAGAAGTAAATGAAAGCTTTAGTCATCATTCCATAGGGCCGTTTTATCTGAATCAAATATCTTTTTTTTAAATATTGATAAGTCTAACAAACAATATACAGCAGACTCATGTCTAAACTCTGCCTATATTAAAAAATGTCAAAACATGTTTACAGACAGTGCCACCATCTAAATAGAGATGGGATGGGCTAGACATTTCTGGTCAGAAGTCAGAATTTCTGGTCACAGCTGAAGGAGTGTTTTTTGATATTTTTGTTTGTTTGTTTGTTTTACTTTCACTGAGCACCTTATTTTGTTAAGGAAAAGATTTTTTTTTAAAAATGACTAATAATGAAGTGAAGGTGATAGTACAGTGGGTAGGGCTTGCCTTACATGCTTCAAATCTTGGCTCAATCTCCACATCCCATATGATTTCCCGTATTCCACCAGGAGTGATCCCTTAGTCTAGAGTCAGGAGTAATCCCTGAACACTGCCAGTGTGACCCCAGAACAGAACAAAAAAATTAAAAAATAGAAGTCAAGTGAGTCACAAGAAGGACAAATACCGGATGATCTCACTTATCTGTGATATACAGAAGAAAAACAGGAAAAGAGAAATGCAGGGTATCGATGGGGAGACACCCCGATTACCCTTAGTCCTTGACAAGAAAATGAGGACAGGGAAGGGCAGAAGCAGAGAGGGAGGGTGGGGAGAAACGGACAGGAGCTAACAGAGGCAGAAGTGAGGGGACTCAAGAATGTTGGTAGTGTAAAAGTGTGGTAAATGTATGTATCTAAATGACAGAGCCAACAATTCTGTCAGCATGAGATCCTAACTACAACAATCAAACTTAAAAATGTGCCCAGGAGAGAGTAAGACTGGGGATGGGAGGGTACCTGGGGACAATGGTGAAAAGAAATTGACACTTGTGGTGGAACATTGTATACCTGAAACAAATCTATGAATAAATAGGTAAATCATGGTGCCTTTATACTAAAAACTTTTACTGTAAAAAATAAAAATTTGTATTAAAAGACTAAAAAATCCTTGCAATTGTCTCATGCTCATGGTTCACTTTCTATCAATATCGCTCAGTATCGGAAATAAAAGATTCTTTTCATTAGCAAATGATTGTAATATAATGAAAACTAGAATCTTTGACTGGAGCGATAGCATAGCAGGTAGGGCATTTGCCTTGCATGCAGCCGACATGGCCGACCTGAGTTCAATTCCTCTGCCCCTCTCTGAGAACCCCACAAGCTACGGAGAATATCTCGCCTGCATGGCAAAGCCTGGCAGGCTCCCCGTGACGTATTTGAGATGCCAAACACAGTAACAACAAGTCTCACAATGAAGATGTTACTGGGCCTGCTGGAGCAAATTGATAAACAACGATGTGACAATGACAGTCATAGGATCTTTGAATTTAATGGATTTTATTGAATCCTAAACTCCACAAACTCCGTGTGCAGTCTTGTGCACACAAAACTTAGCTTCTTAAATCTTAATACTTCTATTCTTATAGAGCAAATGTGTTTTGTGATATTTTTGTGTAGATGTTTCACTTTTTAATCTCTCCATAATTTATAAGCAACATGGTGTTAGGCAAGTACTGACATATAAAATGGACATATAAAATAAAGGTTAATTTCTATTTGAGTTATGATGTAAGAAAGATAAGATTGGGAGAAAGTTAGGCTGTAGTTAGATAAATATCTGTGAGCTTGTTCGCACTTGCCATAAATCTGATTCAAGCTTCTGGGCTACTTATGAATAAGGGACCTGCTATTTAGCTAAAAAAGATACCGTCACTAAAACCAAAAAGGAAGATTTCCCACCTTAATCATACTGTTACGGGGAGATAGGATAGCATCGTGTTGTGTTCCTCTGTCTCCTCAAGAGAAAAGAAAAACTCACTTAGGAGACTCAAGGTGGTAGAAGGACTGAAACTTAATTAAGAAAAAGCAAAGAAAGGAATTGTATGTTTGGAGATTTGTTCCAAGTGGGCAGACTCAAGAAATGGGAGGTGCACCCAAGGAGCTCAGTGTGGTTTTTCAGACCATTTTTCATCTTGCCCATGATGCTGCTGTTTTCCTTCCTAGAATGGAAGTCTTGGAGTCCAGTGGATTTAGGGGTGTGTGTGTGTGTGTGTGTGTGTGTGTGTGTGTGTGTGTGTGTGTTCTTCTCAGGTGGAAAGTCCCAGCAGCAAATAGGCCCTACAGCCCTCAGGATTCTCTTGTTTTGTTGAGCATTTATGGACCTAGAGATCCCACACATCAGGGTTTTGGCAGCTGATCTAGCCTCTTCGCACTGCCTCTATGTATTAGTTATGTTAGACTCACACTGAAACTTTTTTAAGAGAGGGCTAGAAAGGTAGTGCAGGGGTTAAGGCACTTGCCTTGTGTACTGCCAATTTCATTTGGATTCCCAATACTACAGACAATCTCAGTATGCCCATTACCAGCTCTACGAGGAATGCATTCTGAGCACAGAGCCAGGAGTAAGTCCCAAGCACCGCTGGATGTGACCCCAAATCAAAGTTAATATAAGGCAACGGGAATTTAAGTTTAAAGTTTTCAAAATTCTAAGCAAATCATCATCAAAGCAAAATAATAGTGATCCAAAAAACAATGATTTATTTTTGCTTTGGACATGCTACAAATATTCTATAATGGCATAAAGTGTTATAATGTGATAAAATGAAAATGTAACTAAAAATAATAAACCATTGGTATTTCCAAATTTTCAGTAAATTTAAATTCTGTCATATCTAAAATGTAATTTGTATATATAAAAGAACATATCCTATTTCTGGGTTGGAGCTACAGCACAGCGGGTAAGGCATTTGCCTTGCACACAGCCGACCTGGCCGACCCAGGTTCTATTCCTCTGCCCTCTCCGAGAGCCTGGCAAGCTACCGAGAGTATCTCGCCCGCACGGCAAAGCCTGGCAAGCTACCCGTGATGTACTCCATATGCCAAACACAGTAACAAGAGTCACAATGGAGATGTTACTGGGCCTGCTCGAGCAAATCGATGAACAATGGAAGGACAGGGACAGTGACAGTGACGATGATCCTATTTCTGTAAAAAAAATTAGAAAATGTTTTTATTGCATTAAAACTTTAGGTAATATAGTAACTATAATATATTATATAATATATATTATATTTATATAATATCTATAATATATAAGTGCAGTAATTTGTATTGATGTACAAATTACTGCACAGCACAACCACAGTGCCCGTGGCCCTCTACCACTGTCCTATATCACCTGTTTGTTTTTCAAGTGAATAATCATAAGGGTCTAAAATTCACAAACAAAACTATCTCAACATTTTAAGATTTCTCCTGGTGGCTGCGGTGTTATGGTCTTGTGCTCTTATTCGGATGTCTTGGGATCCTTTTCTTCATGATGGTGATTGTTGGCCTACATTTTCGAAGTGAGTATAATTGTATCTTTTCCACTTTCAGACATTAAACATTAATATTAAATTCTACTAGTGCTAAGATCAGCTCCATAAAACTGCTCCAGATTACCTAATTCAGTTGACCAGCTACATAAGCATATAATAGAATTATATTAAATTATAGTAACTGGACTAGAGCAATAGAGCAGTGGGGAGAGTGCTTGTTTTTCCTGTGACCAACCCGAGTTTCATCTCTGGTATCTCATATACTGTATCAGATAAAGATCCAGGAGTAATCCCTGAGTAATGCTGGGTGTGGCCCAGAAAGGAAAAAAAAACAAAGCATAATATACTCTGAATTATAATATTAATACTCATTCTGCAGAGTTTCTGATGTAAAACTTCCAATTAAAGGTTAGCATCCTTTATAAAATACATATATATATATGAGTATGTGCTTACTGTTATTGCACAATGTGATATAATGATTTAATACATGCATGAGCTAGATTTTTTTTCAGGTACCACTTTGGAAAGTATCTAAAATGGACTTCTTCACACTTTCTAAATGTGGTATATAATATGTGCATTCTGTGGTCATTCTTTTTGAAATAAATTAATCAATTCATGGTTTCTATCATTGTTTTGCATTTTAGCAATGCCTTAAAGTAATGAGTAAACTTGGCTTTAACTTGTTGAAAATAAAGGCAATTAAGCAATTTAATTTTCCCATGTAATCTTCTAAAACAAAGAAGAGGAAGATGATTTTACAGAGTGACCAGTAGTGTGCTCAGTTGGGTTCTCAAAAAGTGCTGACTTCAGCACTGTAATTGTGTATATTAACCACTTAAACCAATGGTATGCAACCACAAAATAGATTTATTAGGGGGAAGAACACACTATGGCAGCATAGCACACAATTCAGTTAGAGTGAAAAGGAGGAGACAGGGACACAAACCACTTGAGCCACAGGCATTAGCTGACAGAGCAGAATTGATATCTAATATCACTTTGGCTAGATGTTCCACAGGCAAGAGGCCACACTTCTGAACATGAGTCTTTTGGGCTTTAGGACTATGAGGACAGACTGTTTAAGGTGTCTCAATCAAGCCACTGAAATTCCACATCCAAATTTCAATCATATTTCAGAATTGCATTTATAGACTGCTAGTTAGTTTTAATTTAGAAGTAAGTATACATAGTCATGCTGTTATGTGTTCCTGTGTTTTGCATATCAATTTACACTGATATCCTGAAAAGCATTTAGTGATATATGTATCTAATACACATCACTGTCTTTTGCCACAAATGTTGCATAAGTATTTGTGTTTACTCATTTTTATATTATAATATTTATGCATATAGCATTTAATTGGCCACAGTCATTATAATATCAATATATATATATATTTGTGTGGTTCCTGGAAAGTAATTTATTCCATTGATATGTAAACAGACTATAAGAAATGTAATTTAGCAGTGAAAGAAACTGCATAGAATTAAAAAATTTGATGTGTCTGTTTGTGTGTATGTTTGGGATGCAACAAGAATCTCAATTTTACAAATTAAAATTTAATAATGCAAATTTTTTTTAATACAGGAGTAAAGGTAGGTATGATGAAAGTGACTACTTTCTGGGGGATGGAGTAGAATTTAGAATCATATAGTAGAGGAAAGAGATTTATAATTTTATGGTATTTTTTGTGCTGGAACTTTATTCTAATAAACTAATATTTTTATCCATTATTAAAGGTTTATCAAATTTTTCCTTTGCAACAACTAAGGATAAAAATATGAATTTACACCAGACTATGAATATCAGTAGTCTAAGAGGTAATGTAATTTACTATCTTTTATATGTTGTAACACGGTATCACTGTCATCCTGTTGTTCATTGATTTCCTCAAGCAGGCACCAGTAATGTCTCCTTCGTCCTAACCCTGAGATTTTAGAAAGTGCCACATTCGAGGCTCTTTCAGGGTCAGGAGAATGATACCCATCATTGTTACTGGTTTTTGGCATATTGAATATGCCACGGGGAGTTTGACAGACTTTGCCTTGCGGACAGGATACTTTCGGTAGCCTGCCAGGTTTTCCAGAGTAAGAACTAGATGATAACAGCTAGATAATAACAGCTTCCGGGAACTGGATTTTATAGTCTCTGGGTCTTGGATGTTGATGGGATTACATGGTGCCAGGGGCAGTTGGTGGGTGTAATGCCTACATACTGGAAGATGGGGGATCTGGGTGGAGGAGGCCCAGTCCTGATCCGAGCAGGCTTGGAGATCTAAACCCGCACACCTGGGATCCTCTGCAGGTTCCTTCATGGGTGAGACTCGTCCGAACATGTGGAGAGTGATCTTAAGCATGGCTGTGGCTGGAACCGGAGGTCTTCAGCTGCCGGGGCTCTGCTCAGGTCGGGGAGGGAAACTCAACCTGCCCTCCTCAAAGGGGTCCCAGTGAGGACAGCCAGGCATGGAGGCAGCAGACTCTGCGCTGTTCTCTTCTGGGAACTTTATATGTTGATCTGATTTAAATCAAGAGATTTAAACTTGCTGGTCATATTAAGTACTGCAAATAAAATAGTCATCAAGTTGACTTTCAAGAGGTATATAATAATTGACTCAGAAAATTTAACACAGATTGTTCCCATTGTGATGGTTAATGTTCTGTGTTAGATTGACTAGGCCACATATAATTTCCAGATACTTGGTTAAAACACCAAGTTTTGTGCAAGTACTATTTTTAGTTGAGATATGCTAGCATTTTAAGTCAGTAGGTTTTGAGTTAAGTGGATTATCTTCTATGGTGAAGGTGTACCTTATTCAATTTAATTTCTTAAATAATCTTTTTTTTTTCTTTTTGGGTCACACCCAGCGATGCACAGGGGTTATTTCTGGCTCATGCACTCAGGAATTACTCCTGGCAGTGCTCGGGGGACTATATGGGATGCTGGGAATCAAACCCAAGATGGCTGCATGCAAGGCAGACACCCTACCCACTGTGCTATCGCTCCAGCCCACTTAAATAATTTTTTTTAAATTCTGAAATTATCACACTTAGAATTCCAAGTTATCACATTAGAGCCTCCAGTCCTGATGTATAATTCACCTGGGTCTCCAGCATGAATACTTCCTCTTTACCTATCTGTTAAGCTTGGTAACTATTAAACATGTTAAATAAAGTCCTTTGATTCTGTTTTTCTGGAAAAACCTGACCAACATTCAAAGTGTAAATCATTTTTCATGCATAAATTGGAGGTAATAAGAATACCTACTTCACAAGATTTTCTCATATTCTTAGACATTTATATAGAAAAAAATAACTATATACAAATATATTATTATTATTTTGTTTGGGTATTTTTTTTCACTTTTTTGGTGGGAGGGATTACACTTGGCAAAACTCAGGGGTTTCTCCTGGCTCTGCATTCAGGAATTACTCCTGGTGGTGCTCAGGGGACCATATGGGATGCCAGGGATCAAACCCAGGTTAGAAAGATTCAAGACAAATGCCTTATGCACTATGCTATCACTCCAGCCCCTGCATTTTGTTTTGTTTTGTTTTGTTTTGTTTTGTTTTGTTTTGTTTGGAAGCCACACTTAGAAGTTCTTAGGGCTTACTTTTGGTGTAGTGCTTGAGGGTGTATTCCCAGTGATGCTTGAACAATATGCTGCTGACAATTGAATCCAAAGCTCCTCCAAACCAAGCAGGTACTCCAGCTTATCTGTCTTCCATATTCCTTTAGATAGTATCAACAGTTATCAGTACACATCAATACCATTACTTACCATTTATTTTTAAATTACCACTTATTTTCTAATTTATAATTTTTAAAATTTACTGCAGGACACTGTCTAATTAATAATTTGGAAATAAAAATATGTCATGGTTCTGTAGAATTTATCATATTCAGGATTTTTTCTGTTTAGAATTTTTTATATTTAAAATTTTTTCTCCATGGTGCCACTTACCATGCTTCTATTTTTCAACTTTGTCTTATAAATTAAATTTCTGTTGGGTGCATAGAAATCTTCCTAGACCAAAATTGTGTATTTTTATTATTCTGTAAAATATCTGAAGTAGTAATTGATGCAAAGTATTGCTTGGTGAATGTCCCCCCTTTCATAGTTTTTTAATAGAGAATATGATATTGGAAGCTAAAGTAGCTATTTTAATCTATCAGGACATTTAATTTTCCCATTTTGCCTATTTGTTCCTGTTTTAACATGCTGCACTGATCATCTGGAATATTTTTAGTGTGTTTTTCAGTTATACATTGTTGATTAGTATTTACTTTGTTCATTAGTACTATAGTATCAATACCCATAATCTCACGAGTAACTGTGAATCAATCGTCCATTCAACAGTAGGTCATTTTATACATTTTAACACAACTATATACTTCTGCAACAGAAAAGAATTTAGCTCTCCCAAATCTTTAAATAATTTGCATATTTGTAATGTTATAATATTCATGATTGGCAAGAATGTATATATGGTTTCTGGGGCCATGCCCAGCAGTGATCAGGGCTTACTCCTACCTCTGCACACAGGGATCTCTCCTAGTATACCCAAAGAACAATATGGGGTACAGGGAATCAAACCCAGGTAGGACATGTATAAGCAAACACCCTATCCACTGTACTGTGTCTCAAACTGGGACTGGCAGCTCTTGCCCTGGAAAAGTATGAGCTTCATTTTATTGGAAAGTTTATTTTTATTTTACTTTTACTATTAAAAATTTATTTCTACTTTTATTTGTAAAGTTTAATTTCTGATATGGGAATATGATTTGGCATAAGTCAATACAACTTAGGAATGAAAAGGGGGAGGCAGGAGGGAAACAGGGGACACTGATGGTGGGAAATGTACACTGGTGAAGGGACAGATGTTGGAACATTAAATACTGAAACCCAATAATAAACAACTTTGCAACTGGGAAAAAAAAAACAAATAAAAGGTATTGGGTCAAAAATAACTAAATAACTAAATAAAAAGAGAAAAAAAAGAATAAAAATGAAGAGGGATTTTATATATTAAAAAATTAGTGCTATTTTAATAGTCTTTTTTCTAGTGACATCTGCTTTGCTCTTTTTCTTGTCTTAGCTAAACATACTACTGTGACTTCCAAAAGTAAACATTTAGAAATCACTTGTCGGGAAGCTCATAAGCAATACTCAGGATGCCCAGAGAGTCCAGCTAACTGGTCAGTACAAGGGCCTGAAGATAGTTTGTTGTTCAGGCTCTGAAGTGTCTAGAATACCCAGGGTAAAACTGGACGTTCTAGAGGTCTCGAGGGCTATTCCCAGAGATATCCCCAGGGAAACATGTAATACTAGGATAAAAATCAGAGACTGGATCATGCATCTGTACTATCTCCCATCCCTTCACAATGTTTTAGACTCATATATAGCAGAAACCCATTGCCTCTTTTGCAAACCACAACACCCAATAGGAGAGAGAGAGAACAAAAGGGAATGCCCTGCCACAGAGGCAGAGTGGGATGGGAGGATGGGGCGGGTGGGAGGGATACTGCGATCCATGGTGGTGGGAAATGGGCACTGGTGGAAGGATGGGTATTTGATCATTGTATAATTAAAACTCAAGCACAAAAATTTGTAAGTCTGCAACTGTACCTCATGGTGTCTCACTAATAAAAATTAAAAAAAATAAAACTATTAGTCTACCAATGAAAAAATACGACAGGCTCATATTAATATCAGAATATTCAATACAATCACTCAACTCTCCACAATTATTCTAAGGTTACAGAGCTACATAGTAGGAAATTTAAAGGTGAAGTTGACTCACCAAAAACATTCTAGGCAGGTAGAGACATAGATAGATTCATAGGGTGTCTGTCAGTTGGGCGTGGAAAATGTATCCTTTATGACTCAGGGGCACCTGAGTCCCAGTTGGCAGACAACATTTGGTAAAAAGTTTATTCCTGTGTAGCAAGATGATTGGGCATTAAGTCAGTACAACTTAAAGAATGAAAAACGAAATGAAACTTTACTTCATAACTAAGGAAACTGGAAATAAAAAGCAAAAGAATGTGAACGGATCCAACACAATGATATAACTCATAATATGGAAAGTAGTGTCACAGAAGTGATATGTAACCTCAAGAAATATGGAAGCAGATAATGGATGAACGAAAACAATAGTCTTTCACTTTTTCAGTCAGAAATTTGTAATCACGATCACGATCATCCTGTTGTTCATTGATTGCCTCGAGCAGGCACTAGTAACGTCTCCTTCTTCCTAGCCCTGAGATTTTAAAAGAGCCATATTCAATGCTCTTTCAGGGTTAGGAGAATGAGACCTATCATTGTTACTGGTATTTGCATATTGAGTACGACACGGGAAGTTTGCCAGACTCTGCCGTGCAGGCAGGATACTTTCGGTAGCCTGCCAGGTTCTTCAAAGTAAAAATGAGATAATAAGATGTCCCGCTTCCAGGAGCTGGGTTTTATAGTCTCTGCGTCTTGGCCGTTGATGGGACCACCTGGCGTCAGTGGCAGCTGGTGGGTGTAACGCCTACCTACTGGAAGATGGGAGATCTGGGTGGAGAAGGCCCAGTTCCGATCCAAGCAGGCTTGGAGATCTCAGCCCCAGGACTCACATGCCTGTGTTCCTCTGCCAGTTCCTTCATGCATGAGGCTTGTCCGGACATGTGGAGAGTGGTCTCAGCATGGCTGTGGCTGGTTCTGGAGGTCTTTGGCTGCTGGGGCTCTAATCAGGGCGGGGACAGAAACTCAACCTGCCTCCCTCCAAGAGGCCCCGGTGAGGACAGCCAGGCGTAGGGGCAGGAGACTTTTGTAATAAAATTATTTAATGTTTATTTCCCCTAGTTATAAAGGCCCCAAAACCTCGTCCTTGAATGCCCCTTTCAGACGAGAAGGCGTGCCGGACACGGGTAAGGCATTTGCCTTGCATGAGGCCAACCCGGGTTCAATTACTCCTTCTCTCTCGTAGAGCCTGGCAAGCTCTCCATGGAGTATTCGATATGCCAAAAACAGTAACAAATCTCACAATGGAGACATTACTGGTGCCCGCTCAAGCAAATCCATGAACAATGGGAGAACAGTGACAGTGACAGATATAAAGGCCAGAATTCAGAAACCTTGTTCTTCCTACTGTTTTTTCCACAAACCTTGCTCTTAGTTCAGAAAATATACAAATTAATGAAGGTATCTTCATTCTCTTCTGCTGGTAGAGATCATTTTAAATGACAAAAATGAATAGCTGGCATAAGTTTATTTTTCAGTTCATCACATTTGTTACCATTTATACTTTCTCGGTTGATGACAGATAATTAACACCGTTTCTACATTTCCTTCAGAAAAAACATTGGCATGCCCAAATGAATGGTTATTGAGTCAAGGGAAATGTTACAGGTTTTCAACTTCTCCAAAAACCTGGAAGAAGAGTCAACACGATTGTTTAAATCTTCAGTCACATTTGCTGGTGATTCAAACGAGGAAGGAGCTGGTAAGGAAGGATCTAAGTGGCCCAGGAAGAATTACTACGTGCAGGGGTGTGTGGATGTGTGAGGGGTGTATGTGAGTGTGTGTGTGTGTGTGTGTGTGTGTGTGTGTGTGTGTGTGTGCATGTGTTGTGGTGGGAGCAGAAGTGGGAAAGAAGTTGATTTAGAAAATTTATTAGTCATGATATAATTATTGTTCATGAAAATGTTTTTATTTATTTATTTATTTATTGAATCACTGTGGGAAAGGTTACAAAGCTTTCAGGTTTATGTCTCAGTCATGCAAATATCAAACACATTTCCCTTTACCAATACTTATTTTTTACCCTGAAGAACCCCAATAAAACCCCACCCCCCACCCCTCCCCGTCCCTGTGAGGCAGATGAATTCTAGTTAACACTCTATCTGCTTTGATTAGATTCATTGTTTCAATAAGATTCACCACTATTATTTAGAGTTTACCCTCCCCCAAATCAGACATGCTGAAAAAGCATTGTGAAGTGATTTGCTTTCTACAGCTGGGTTCAAGAATTAAATGTTGGTTTTGGATTTCTGCTATTTTACCTATTGACCCTGGAAGTATTTCTACTGAAAGTCAGATAGTTAAGAAATTGGTTTCTGTGTTCTGGAGTCGTGGCCGTGCTGGAGAGCCGCTCGCGGGGGGCAACCGGTGGCCTCGGTAGGGCGTGAAGAGCGGAGCGAAACGCCCCCCTTCCCATGAGGTTTTAGTCACCCCCACACTCCCGGCTCATACCTGCTGTCCACAAGGCTCCCATGTGGCCGCCATCTTTCTTTCCAGAGGGAGGAGGGCGGAAGGGAGCAACACCCTTTCCCCTCTGGGCAGAAATGATTGCCTGGATTAACGCATAGTCCTTTCACTTTTCTGCTCCAAGCTGCTGGGTTCTGCATTAAGCCCCTGTGCTTCTGGGGCTGTGGCCATGCTGGAGAGCCGCTCATGGGGGGCAACTGGTGACCTCGGTAGGGCGTGAAGGACGGACCGGAACGCCCCCCTTCCCATGAGGTTTTAGTCGCCCCCACACTCCCGGCTCATACCTGTTGTCCACTAGGCTCCCATGTGGCCGCCATCTTTCTTTCCAGAGAGGAAAGGGCGAATGGGGCAACACCCTTTCCCCTCCGGCAGACTTGATGGCCTGGATTAACGCATAGTCCTTTCACTTTTCTGCTCCAAGCTGCTGGGTTCTGCATTAGGTCATTGTGCTTCTGGGGCTGTGGCCGTGCTGGAGAGCCGCTCGTGGGGGCAACTGGTGGCCTCGGTAGGGCGTGAAGGGCGGACCGAAACGCCCCCTTCCCATGAGGTTTTAGTCGCCCCCACACTCCCGGCTCATACCTGCTGTCCACAAGGCTCCCATGTGGCCGCCATCTTTCTTTCCAGAGAGGAGAGGGCGAATGGGGCAACACCCTTCCCCCTCCGGCAGACTTGATGGCCTGGATCAATGCATAGTCCGTTCACTTTTCTGCTCCAAGCTGCTGGGTTCTGCATTAAGTCCTTGGGCTTCTGGGGCTGTGGCTGTGCTGGAGAGCCGCTCGTGGGGGGCAACTGGTGACCTCGGTAGGGCGTGAAGGACGGACCAGAACGCCCCCCTTCCCATGAGGTTTTAGTCGCCCCCCACACCCCCGGCTCATACCTGCTGTCCACAAGGCTCCCATGCGGCCACCATCCTTCTTTCCAGAGAAGAGAGGGCGAATGGGGCAACACCCTTTCCCCTCTGGGCAGAGATGATGGCCTGGGTTAACTCATCGTCCGTTCACTTTTCTGCTCTAAGCTGCTGGTTTCTGCATTAAGTCCTTGTGTTTCTGGGGCTGTGGCCGTGCTCCAAACTTAACTCTGATTTTCAGGGAGAAAGATTGGGTGGTTTACTTCTCATTGATCACTTTGTATATAGAGAGATGTTGCGCGGCCGCGTAAGCGGCCGCACGGTTTTGAGAAAAAGTCCTCGTTCCCGCATACTCGAGCTGTGTTTGTAGAGGCTTCTGGTCACCGGGGTTCCATCTGGGGGAGGCGGGATGCAGCGCCTACTCCATCTGGAACTTGCTGGTGATCTCGGCTCTTTTTGGAACCTGTTTTTTCTTTTATTTTTTTCCTCCGGGATCCCGCACCCTCCATGTGTTCCTTCTCTTATGTTGAACTCTTCAAAGATGGCGCTGGGGGGCGGGCTGTGGGCGTGACTTCCGGAATCAGAGGTTACCTGGGAGGTGTAGTCCAGCAGATTTGAGAAAAAGTCCTCGTTCCCGCATACTCGAGCTGTGTTTGTAGAGGCTTCTGGTCACCGGGGTTCCATCTGGGGGAGGCAGGATGCGGCGCCTACTCCATCTGGAACTTGCCGGTGATCTCGGCTCTTTTTGGAACCTGTTTTTTCTTTTTTTTTTTTTCTTCTGGGATCCCGCACCCTCCATGTTTTCCTTCTCTTATGTTGAACGCTTCAAAGATGGCGCTGGGGGGCGGGCTGTGGGCGTGACTTCCGGAATCAGAGGTTACCTGGGAGGTGTAGTCCGGCAGATTTGAGAAAAAGTCCTCGTTCCCGCATACTCGAGCTGTGTTTGTAGAGGCTTCTGGTCACCGGGGTTGCATCTGGGGGAGGCAGGATGCGGCGCCTACTCCATCTGGAACTTGCCGGTGATCTCGGCTCTTTTTGGAACCTGTTTTTTCTTTTTTTTTTTCCTCCGGGATCCCGCACCCTCCATGTGTTCCTTCTCTTATCCATGAAAATGTTTTTGAAAGAAAAGATTTTTGTTATTTAATTGGTGTCTGGCATAATTACTTATAAAATGCATTGCACATTTTTTAATCATGTAAATAAGCAAGCACACTCTCTCCTCTATAGGAATTCATACAGAAGAATTTGAAACCTGGACATCCTGGTTGGATTGGACTGCATGTTAGTGAGGTCCAAGGAAACCAATGGATGTGGGTAGATGAGCAACCTTTGGTGGAGCAAAACAGGTGAGTAGTTTTTGAGGGGTGGGATGATGGTGGGAAGTATGTTTTTTCTGTAGAAATGGATTTTTAATTCAAGAATAAGCTTTCTTGTCTTTCAGCCTCTCTTTTTTTAAAATGTTTTCTCTTTTTTTTTTAAGGTTTCTAATTTTTTATTTTCCTCTCTTTCTCTTAAAATCTTCACTAGCATAGAGAAATGGGAACAGAAAGTCTTCATTATCACACCTGTTTATTTCCAGTTTGCACTTTGTAGAAGAGTTTCCTATGTAAATCTGGCTGTTGAAAGCTTTGTTATTCAGTCATTAATTAAAGATCAACGTCCTTATGTCTGTCTATCTTTCAGCTTTCCAATAGTTGGACCAAGGGAAAACATGAACTGTGCCGTCGTAACAGGAAGCAGTATATATTTTGAAGACTGTAACTCCAAGTTCTTTGGCATTTGCCAGAGAAAAGCTGTTTAAACATCAAAAACAAATGTGTTCATTTAAAGTATGAATGTCAAGAGTTCTTATCTTTCTTTAGATTGTAAATATTTTCCTTTTTACTACAAATAAAAATGCTTAGCATTGCACACAGAAATAATACTTCAAAATAAGAAAACATTCTGACTTTTAAAGAAAACACAACTTTTTATGCTTCCAATGTCTAAAAAAATAAGTAAACTTAATTTGTTTAAATCCCCATATGGATATTTAAAAAATTATGATAGTTTAGGTAATATGGTCTTAGTATTGGTAATATTTATAATTTTAATAATAATATTAATAATAACATACATGATTTCTGCACCTCATCAAAGTTTCCAAGGAAGACACTTGCCCACTGTCCTAATGTTACTTCTGCCACATCTTTTCATTGCTCCAACCCCTCCCCTCCCCTCCAACCCCGCCCTGCGCACACATACACACACACACATACACACACACAAACACACACACACACTGCTCAGTAATCTCAGTTTTGTCATCTAGAATCAAGGGTTTGTTAGTTAACTTACAAACAAATGCTATTAACTTGTTTTATTTCTCTATATACTGAAAAATAGTGCAAACCATGTTTTATATAACATGTGATTTTAATTTTTTGAGTTCTAACTCCTGACATAAGGTCATGTCACTTTGTTATTCTTATAGTAGGCCAATTTCCTGCATTTTTAATAGTTTCAATATTTTTCACAAATAAATCAAGCTCCAAACGGCAATGAAGTACTCAGGCAATAGAAGGTCTTTATTTGAAGTAATTCATGATTTTTAAACATGAGTTCACAATACATAAATCTATATTAACACTTGTATTAAATATTAGTATTGAATATTATTTAAATATGAGTATTAAATATATTAAATATTGATAATTATCTCCCCTTCTTTACAAAAAAAAAGTTCACGAGTTGTCCTATTTTTCTCTTTCACTTAGAAGAATGTGTTTCAAGATCAATACAGAAATGCAACAACTTATATTCATAATTTCAACAGTTTATGTCTACTAATTATGTTAGTTATTTAACTCTTTTGATAACTTTCCTGTGCTTCATTTCCAGTGACAGCAGGAATTTTTACTTCTTACTAACTATGAATTAAAAAATGAAATGGATGGTAGACTACTTTACACTGTTAAACTAATACAATAGTGCTACTGGGTGTAGTCTCTAAACAAAGCAAACAAGCACACAAAAAAGGCAATGCAGTCACAGTGTGACCTCAAAGGATAAGTTGCCCTGCTGCTTAAGAGCCAATCAATTGAGGGACATAGTGATAGGAACACAAAGAGCTTTGAGCTCTATTAGCAATAACTCAGATAGCCATTGCTGACTCTTTTCCTCAAAGAAGCCACCTTGTCTATGTTGTCCCTGGAAGTGGATTTTACAGAGAGTATAGGATACTATATTTAGAAAGTATGGATGAAATACAACGGTAAAATTCTCTCCTGGGCTGGGGGAAGATAGCTATTTTTCAGATATATTCTTCTCCTCTATTGTATTTTAGATTTGCTGCAAATCCACAGTAGATCAAGGTGGCCCATGGAACTCTGGACTCCGTCAGAATTTATAAAAGCAAACAATCCATTTCCACTAACTTCAAACCTGAAAACAAACAATTAAAATTGATTATTTCTACACTTATAGATATAATGAAAATTAAATTAGTAGTAGTAATTTTATTTTTTTGGTTTTGAGTCACACCTATGGTACTCAGGATTTACTCCTGGCTCTGCCTCAGGGCCCAATTTATTACTGTCCTGGAATATTCTTTCAGCCTCACATTCAGTGATTTTAAGTGCCGTTACTATACTATACTCCAGAACATCTTTAGTCAATGTTATGTTCAGTTTTGAAAATAATGAATAAGCTTTACAGTGATTTGATTCTTTTGGAATGTTCTGGGATAACGCCAAAGAGGCTAAGTATATTCCTCCATTTAATGACAAATATTTTCCTTTTTCCAGTAAGAATTTGCTCTGTCTAATTCATTTCAATACTTGTTTAGTAGGTTAAAATTTTTGTCTAGTACTTAATGAAGTGTTAAGGCAAGTACACATGGGCACCAAAGCAAAGTAAAGCTCTTGTTTTCAGGAAAATAGCATTTCCTCCCTTTTAAGGATATATTATTCACCCAAGAAATAGTAACATAAATAAGGAGCATTGTGCGTGCTGAAATGGACACCTGCAAAGTTAAAGATAATTGTAAAGCCTCAATTATTTGTATTGTGGGGTGGGAGACTGAGAGGAAGCCCACACTCAGAGGTCCAGCCCACACTCCTACTCCAAGGTCTCTAACTCTTAAAGAGAAACACCTTGTATAAATACAGGTAGTTAGAAAAAGGTACACTGTACAGACTTTTGGCTTGCAATTTGCCAATAGTATATGCAAAGGACCACTTATAAACTTGACACACAAAATCAAAATAAAATGGAGTGAAAATAGAAATGGAAAATTTCTCCTTGTGCATTTGGAAAGGTAAGTGCAAGTTTAGTTGCTGGAGGCCTGTTTCAGTGAGAACGGGCCTGTCACAGCTAGAGACTCAGAAAGGTAATTGCACAGACAAAATGGGAAGATTTCCTAATAGCAGCACAGTCAATTGATTTTAAAATGTACACACAAACTTAGTAATTTCCTATCAAATTTGAAACTTACAAATCATTGAATGTGGTGCCATCTGTCCATTTCCAAGGCCCGCCTTCTTCTCTGCTCAGGCCGATCCAGTGCATAGCAATTCCTACATGACTCTTCAGGAGTTCCTTCCCCACCCCCCCCCAAAAAAAATTAGGGCATTATCAACCATGTAAGATTTAGAGCACATTTCAGAATAAATTTCTAATTCTGATCATCTCATGTGAGCTTTTTACAATTTGCATTTTAATCTGCATGCCCTCAGACTTCTTACAGAAAGTCACACCACTTACATAGAGAGGTGTTTAGATTATAGTTTTTTCAGAAGGGTTTTCATTTTCCTCTTTTCTTTTGTAAATATCTCTCAATGGTAAGTAACTTCTACCATGCCATTGAAACCTTCTGAGCTACTAATTATCATTGAAAGTAACTTCTGTCTCTCAAATGAGTATTGACAAGGAAAACATACTTAATGTCTTTTCAAGTTTTGTGTTGGTTTGTTCATCTATGGGCTGTACCCAGGCATTTCTCAGATTTATTCCTGACTCTTGCACTCAGAGATCATTCCTCCCAGGGTACAGGGACCATTTGGGATGCTGGGAAAAAACCTGGGCTGACCTTGTGCCAAGCAAGCACCCTATTTGCTGGAGTATTGTTCCAGCCTTTCTTTCAAATTCTAATGATTTAAATTTGCAGAGTGGTTGACAGAGACTACAAACTAATATGAAGCTGTATTTTTTGGATAAAATCAGAAACTCAGTAGTTTCTACAAAATTGCTCAAGGGGTCCTGCAATATGGGGAACAGGACATAATACTGAGTGATCTCTCTACCCTAACACTGCATATTTTAAGAGTGAGAGAGAACTAATGCTTATATTTTGTTTTCTGTATAAGTCTTATCCCAAACACATAGAGAAGGGATTTGAAAGAAAAAAGAGACTTGGTGAAAAGCATAAGTATGGTTGAAATAGAAAAGCTCATCATGCACTATATTTTTTTAAATTTGCATGGTAGGAATTTTATTTTTTTTTACTTTTTTTAGTTCTATTTTTATTTTATTTTATTTTTTAATTTTTATTAGTGAAACACCATGAGGTACAGTTGTAGACTTACAAATTTTTGTGCTTGAATTTCAGTTCTACAATGATCCATTACCCATTCCTCCACCAGTGTCCATTCTCATTTACATTTTTCTTGTTTTTTTTAATTTTTGTTAGTGAAACACCATGAGGTACAGTTGTAGATTTACAAATTTTTGTGCTTGGATTTCAATTGTACAATGATCAAACACACTATTTTAAGAAGATAGCAAGCTCTGCCAGGAGAGATCCCTGAGCACAGAGTCAGGAGTTAGTCCTAAGCATCGCCAGGTGTGTCCCAAACAGCAAAAAGTATTTGAAAGATATGAGGAACTTTAAGGCTGGAGTGATAGCACAGCAGGTGAGGCGTTTGCCGTGCATAGGGCCAATATGAGTTTGACTCCTCTGCCCCTCTCGGAGAGCCTGGCAAGCTACCGAGAGTATCTAGCTCACACAGCAAAGCCTGGCAAGCTCCCTGTGACGTATTCGATATGCCAAAAGCAGTAACAACAAGTCTCACAATTTGTTGTGAGACGTTACTAGTGCACGCTCGAGCAAATCGATGAACAACAGGAGGACAGTGCTACAATGCAGCAGTTTAAGATGGTCCTTGCTGTTATGTATTGTTTCTCTAACCAGGAATTGAACTAACTTCTAAAGTAATATGACTTATAGTCACTGTCACTGTCCTCCTGTTGTTCATTGACTTGCTCCAGCGGGCCCAGTAATGTCTCCATTGTGACAATTGTTACTGTGTTTGGCATATCGAATACGTCATGGGTAGCTATCCAGGCTTTGCCTTGCATGCAAGATACTCTCAGTAGCTTGTTGGGCTCTCGGAGAGGGGCAGAGGAATCGAACTCGGGTCAGCCATGTTGGCTGCTTGCAAAGCAAATGCCCTACCTGCTGTGCCATCGCTCCAGCCCATGACTTATAGTAATAAAAGATATTGAACGATGGGTTTCCTCTCTCTTCTATTGGCTTCCTGCTATTGAACTATTAACTTATTGTCCAGTTTTCTCAGCAAGTAAAGTGTTTCCCTTCACTACGCCCTGGTATCCAGGTCTATTTTTCTTTTTATTTCTTCCAGTTAGTTTCACATTGTTCAAAGTACATATGATTACTTCACATCCTTAACCCTAAATTCCAAGAAAAAAAATTTTGTTTCTTTTGTTTTCCTAGACTATGCTTTTAAGACTGTAAAGATGTTTGAGTCAATCTGCTTTATAACCTAAGAACATTGGACCAATTCTCTTAGCTCAATAAAAATATTCATTGTGATTAATGGTAAAACATTACTAAATTACCAGAGTTCAAATCACAGTTTAACAATACAAGGATGTTTGCTAATGACTGAGCTATATAACACCTTAATGTTTCACTGAGCTCTTTAAAATCAGCATAGTTAAATAAATTCTTCATAGACATTGTTGAAATTACATTAATTTATTTTAGTTGCTGTACTTGGAACACTGTTCACCTAAATTACAATGGAGTATTGATTTTAATCTTTATAGAAACATTTATTCTCTCTGTAAAAGGGTGTTGAGATGATTTCTTACCATTTCCTCTTTTGTATTAATATGAGCAAGCTCTGAACCTTTTGAATGGCAAAATTGTTGGCTGGCTGTCCAGTTTTTGGTTTCACCATATAAATTGAAACACTTCTCTTTAGTTTCAATCCCCAAACATGGATTTCTTTCTGGAGCCTTTGGTGTCATTGAATATACTGCAAAAATTTAAAAAAAGGTGTTTTAAGAATAAAAATGTTTTTACGAATTCTGTGAATTGATTTTATTGCCACTGTCTGTTTCTTAAATTTAATCATGCTATCTATAAGGAAGGCCTATTAGTGGTGAGGCAGTCTATGCTTTATATTTTACTCTGATCTCTATTTTGACAAATAGAACCACTAGTCACACATTTTATTTATATACAGTGCCATCCTACAAAATGCAATGCAAGAAAGTTTGCAGTCAAGGAAGAGAGCTCAAGATGAATATTGTTGGGTTTCCTCTCAATGTTAAACCTCAATAACTAGGGCCAGAAATGAAAACTTACCTTCCTAGAAGTGAAAATGTTTTTGACAAGAGGGAACAACCATGGTATGACAACAATATAGTGAAATGCCAGAGTTAGTAAATCATATGATCCATTTCATCAAAATTAAGTGCCGTTCTAGAAGTTTGGATAATGGTGAATTTATCTCTATGTTCATTGTTCTGAGAGTGTACTACTTCAGGGTTTTAGTTGGATGGAGATTAATCAGAATAAGATAATTTCTTTATTACAAATGTTTGAACAAGCTACTGTACTAGTGAAAGTACAACTAAAGATCCAAGTGTAAGACCAATTACAAGATCTTCTCTCCTTACTTTGCCATTTGGGGGATGGGGTAATAACCAGGACTAAATTTAACTTGCCACAGTCACATTATGGATCACATTAAGCTTCAATGTTAAAAAAACAAGAATGACTGAATAAAAAATATTTCATATAGAAACCCATTTATATAAATATTTATCTCCTATACATATGTATTCAAATAACATTAAGCTTCCAATAGTGACTAATACGACTGTCAGGAAGAGGATAATCAGAACTTTTAAGAATGTTAAAGAAAATAAAAATCATATCATAAAGCATTACTAGTGTCAAAATTTACTAGCAAAGTATGCATACAGAAAATCAAGATCTGAATACTGTTAAATCATGACTCAAGAATTATAATCTGAAGTCTTTTATAAAACAAAAACTTAAAATTCACATATTCATTTTTCATAAATCATTTCAACAAAGAACATCTTGCAATAAATTACTATCATGACTTTATTTTTATTTTAATAAATTTTTCACAGAGCAAATATCAGTAATGTAAATTATCCTCAAACCAAAAGAATTTAGATAAATCTACAAGTATAGATTCCGTGATGCATGGTGTTTAAAATGTCAAGAATTAGAGTCAGACAAATGAGTCTATTTCATAATTGGGTTTCTGGGATAGATATGTAGTGACTTATTCCTCTTTTATTTGGTAAGCATCAATTTTTGATATTTGAATATATTTTGTCATTTATATTTTTGTGTTGCTTTTCTCAAATTCGTGTTTCTTTATCCATTACTTCTTTAACTTCTACAAATGCTCTCAATATGCATTACTTTTTTAACTTCTTCAAGCACTTTCAATTTTAAAAAGATAGCTCTTGCTATTTGTTATATGAGAATCTGTGATTAACTTTCCCAAAGATAAATAATTTCAATTAAATAGAGAATATGATTGCATTCAAAGAGTCTTTTAAATAAAAGGAAAAGTGATACTGCCTGGTAAACTGATTTTTCTCTACAGAAAATCTTTTAGTACTTCAGAACTAAGAGATCTAGCATAAAGTAAGCTTTTGAATTAAGTCACTTACCTCTGAAATGAATCACCAATCCAGCAATCAACAGGAAGACCACTATCCACGTTATTGAGTGAGCATTACCGATGCATGAATCTGCAGAAAAACCCAGGTATGCAGGACTTATGACTGAAAACTTCAGGTTCAATTGAGTTGGGAAAGGGTTATCTCATTAATGGCTATGATCCAGAGACTCAACAATAAATCTCTCGGAAGAGAGTACAGAATGATATACCATAGAGTTGCCATCAGGGGCAACCCAGAGGAAGGCAGGTAAGTTCCCCTCCCCGTCCCAAGGAAGCCAGCCCCAACAGCCGAGAACCTCCAGAACTCAATTGCCACCATGGGCACAGTCACTCTCTACATGCTCGGACAAGCCTCACCGTGAGTGAATCTATTCCTGAACATCTCATACTTTACACCACCACTATACTGAGAGTAACACATCACATTTGATGGGGTTTAAAGTAGAAGGCAACCAATCTTAGGGGGAAATATTTTTATAAGATATAGATGTAAGCACACAAGTTTCAACCTTTTAACATATTACTAATCTCTTATAGAAGGGCTTAATGGCTTCTGGGTGAAATACAACAATCTTCACACACTTTTCTCCCAGAAAACATTTTTGTAGCATATTTAGCAGATTATTTATAACAAGTAATACAAAATAAATCTCTTTGTTTTTGCTTTGGGGGCAAAGTTTGGAGTTCGAAATGGAAACATTTGAAATATGGTAGTGAGAAGGTGTAATGGTGGTGTAACTGGTGTTTGAATATTAAATGTAATCAATTACAGTGAATATAAAAATAGAATAAAATTTTTGAAAAAATTTAAAAAATGAAGACCGTTTTATTTTAGCATCATGCTGGTGTGGCATTCTAAAGGGGCAAACTAAATATATAAATAAATATATTATAAAAATCTATTAATATCCCATTTGTATATTAGTGTTCTTTTTACTCTTTCACAATAACAATTCAGTAACTCTCAATCAAATATCTGTGTCTTCAAGTAATAAAGATTGTAGTTGTCTTTGAAGGTCCAAAGGTGGTTAGTGACAGTCATTGCTGCAACTCTCCAGTGAGGAGAAGACACGTGGCGGATGAACTGAGAAAAGTGCAAAGCTATTTTAAGAAGTGCAAGTGGGAGAGGGTTATCAGGAAACTATACTGGTTATCAAAAGGATGATGATCTGACAAATGGATATGGAATATTTATGAATTACCAAAATCAAAGATTAGAAGGGAAGGGAAATTCATAAGGTCAAGTGACTGAAGAACATAAGTGTAAAATAATGGGATTACTGTAGTCTGCATTTTATAGGGGAAAGAAGGCCACTGTGTTTGTATAGAGAAGATCACTTGATCACTTGACTTCCCGTTAATCGCCAATTTGCTCGAGTGGGCGCCAGTAACGTCTCCATCTGTCCCTGTCACATGCTAGTGTAGTCCAATGGCGTCTGTTCACTCTAGGAACATGAAGAGCCTCAAACCGATCGTTCATGATCTTGATGAAGAAGTCTGACCATCTGGTAGGTGGGCGGCCACGCGGTCTTTTGACATCCCGTGGAATCCAGTCGGTAACAGCTCTAGTCCAGCGGTCGTCTTTAAATCTCATTACGTGATCAGCCCATCTGATTTTTGACACCTTGGCAAACGAGACAGCGTCCCTGATTCTTGATCGTCGACGGATGTTGGAACTCCGGATTCTTTCTCTCATTTGAGTGAAATGTGATATTCCAACCATAGCTCTTTCAATTCCTCTTTGGGAGACCCGAATAACGTTCTCATTCTGTTTGCGTAGGGCCCAGGTCTCTGAGGCATATGTTAATGCAGGAAGAACAGTGGAATCAAAGAGATGTGCCCAGAGCCAGAGGTTCTTCATCCTCTTAGCTATTTCTTCGAAGCTCTTGAAGGCGTTCCAAGCCGCTCTCTTCCTCCTGTGCAGCTCGGGTGCCAGGTCATTTGTCATGTTGACTTCTCGACCTAGGTACACATAGCTGTTGCATTTGGAGATGGTTGTTCCATTGAGAGCGAATGGGGCATCAGGAATGAGGCTGTTTCTCATAAACATTATCTTCATAAGATACAGCTGTAGTCTGACCTTTCCACACTCACAGTCAAAGTCAGCCAGCATTTGTGCCGCTTGGCTGATGTTTGGTGTTATTAAAACAATGTCATCAGCAAAGCGGAGGTGGTGTAGTTGCCAACCATCTATCTTCACTCCCATTCCTTCCCATTCCAGTCATTGCACGATGTTCTAGAGGGTGGCACTGAAGAGTTTCGGTGAAATGGTATCACCCTGCCTAACCCCTCTCTTGACATCAACGGTCACTTCTTTGTAGAATGGTGAGATCCTGGTAGTGAATCCGCAATCCAGCTCACGGAGGATCTTGATGTATTGGGCTTGAATGCCCTGATTGGCTAGGGCTTCAATGACCACTTCCGTCTCAACAGAATCAAAGGCCTTCTTTAAATCAATGAACGTTAGACAGAGCGGTATATTGAACTCCCGAGAAACCTCAATGAGCTTGGTAACCTCTATAGAGAAGATAAACCAATAAATTATAAGTAGAGTAAATTAAAAAGGAAAGGGATATTGGGACTCAAGGATATGTTAGGGTATTAGTAACAAGCAATAATAATTCCACAAATGATCAAAGTAATCAAAGTAATCCTGTCTGCTGCTTTATTAGCAGATGCAAAACCAATCTAGGAAGACTGTACGTATACTCTTGGTAGGAAAGACAGTACTGAAGCTAGAGTGCTTGCTTTGCATGTGGTCCACCTAGGTTCAGTCCTCTACAATCCATATGTACCCACTAGGAGTGATCACTTTGAGTGGCCCAAGCAGGAATAAGCCCTGAGCACTGATGGTTGTTATCCCCAGATAAAAGATCCTCTAGTTCCAAGATTCCATTTTCTATAGTATGTATAAAATTTTATATTATTTTATCTTGGCATTTTATATTTTTCCAGCATACATCTACTTTCTTTTTCCTAAGACTGAAAATGCACATTAGTTAGAAATGATCAATCACTCTGGACAAGAACTGACTGTTGAAAGTAGGTAAAGGAATATACCTGATAACTTTTTAGTATCTGCATTACAAATCATGGTAACACAGTCATCCTGTTGTTTACCGATTTCCTCGAGCAGGCACCGATAATGTCCATTTTGTCCTAGATGTGAGATTTTAGAAAGTGCTCTTTGAGGGTCAGGAGAATGAGACCCATCATTGTTACTGGTTTTTGGCATATTGAGTACACTGCGGGGAGTTTGCCAGACTGTGTTGTGTGGGCAGGATACTTTCAGTAGCCTGCGGGTTCTCCAGAGTACGAACTAGATAATGATATTGTGTGGCTGCAAATGCGGCCGCATGCTTCTGAGAGCTGGGTTTTATAGTCTCTGGGTCCTGGCAGTTAATGGGATTACATGGCGCCGGGGGCAGTTGGTGAGTGTGACGCCTACCTACTGGAAGATGGGGGATCTGGACAGAGGATCTGGGCGGAGCATTATAAATAATAAGACCCCCAAAAAAGAGAGACAGAGAGACATAAAGACAAACTGACAGAGAGAGACAGAAAGAAGAAAGGTGCCTGTCATAGTGGCAGGGCAGGGGATGAGGCAAGAAGAAACTGGGAATATTTGTGATTGGAAAAGTACACTGGTGAAGAGACATGTATCAGAATATTACATGACTGAAATTCAATCATGAACAACTTTGTTAATGTGTTTATCACTGATTCAATTTTTTTAAATTTTTTTAAAAGAAAAAAATAAAAAGAAAGGTCTCTGAATCTAACTTCACCTTCCTTTGCCTTTCAAACTATTGCTCCATGTCCTATTTTCAAGGGGCTGGAGCAATAGCACAGCAGGTAGGGTGTTTGCCTTGCACGCAGCCAGTGCTGCTGAGTCGGATTCAATTCCTCCACCCCTCTCGGAGAGCCCAGTAAGCTACAGAGAGTATCTCACCCACACAGCAAAGCCTGGCAAGCTACCCATGATGTATTCAATACGCCAAACACAGTAACAACAAGTCTCACAATGGAGATGTTACTAGTGCCCGCTCGAGTAAATCGATGAACAATGGGAGGACAGTGCTATTTTCAAGAGCAAATAACACAATGCTGCCCTGCTGCTTCTCCATGTCACTGCCTTTCCGTGAACCAGACAGGACTGCCATGTTCCTCATGCCTGACTTCAGTGACCCTCTATTCCTTCTGTCTCTCCCTGTGTTCCAAGCATTTCATCCCCCACTCCAACTTCACCCCTACTTGTTCCCTCCTATCAGATCCCTGTCACTGTCCCTCTTCAAACCCTGCTGCCTCCGGAGCCTCAGACCCAGGTCTAACCTGAATAGCAGGATATTCTATTCCTCCTCCAGGGCCCTATGCTTCTATTAATAGAACCTTGGCTCTCGTCCTAATGAAGTATATTCCATCTACTTCATGCACATGTAATGTGAGCATGTACATATGTGTTTCTACTCAAATATGAGAAACACTCAAATATGAGATGAAAGAAAAGCTCCAAAAGATAAAGCAAGGAAAGCAAGATCCCAACTGCCTCTCTGACATCGGGTGCAGCCTCTGACAATGAGTTGAATACCTGGGCATATTCTTTGTGCCCGTTTCGGGTAGGGACCACACCCTACCCTGGTGTTGCTGGGGTGGCCATGGCCAACTCAGTGGTGCTGAGGGCAGGCACGCAGTGCCAGGGATGAAGCTCGGGGCCTCCACATCCCTAGCCCTGCACATCTTGACTGCCCAGAGAAGCTTTGTCAGCTCTTGGTGTGCCCTGGGACTTGCCTTGCCTGACTATGAGCCAGGTGTCTTGGCAAACAATCGTGCGAGACTTTCACTCTTGGCCCAGAGCTTCCTCACTGTAGGACTATGGTGGACTGGAGCAGGTAAGGTGCTTGCCTTGGTATGGGGGCACTGAAGAGATAGTACTGCTAGTAAGGCACTTGTCTTGCCTATGGTTCAATTCGTGACACCCCATGTGCTGCCCTGAGCCTCACCAGAAGTGATCCTTGAGCACAAAGCTAAGTCAGTCTTGAGCACTGTTGAGTGTGGCCCCCAAACAAACAAAACCCACTATAATTCTACTCACAGTCTGATTGTGCCCCCCACCGCAAGAATCTGAGATGCTCCCCAGCCTATGTAGCGCCCTTCAGCATCCCATGCCCTCGGGGACCATTCTCCATGGGAGCTGACCACATACCTCCGTCTTGATGTTGGCTTTCCTGTTGGTCATTGGCACCTCTGACCACTTCTGGTCTCCGTGGTTGGGTCAGACCCTGGCGCAGGAAGAGTCAGCAGTGGTGAATCCTATTGGGTGGCTGAGACTTTTCCTGTCACGCGTGTCTGTGCAGCAGTGGAGTCGGCTTCCCAGGCTTGATAAAAGGGGGCCAGGAAACTGGGGGCAAGCCCAGGGAACCCCAGGAGTCCATGAATCAGCTGCCACCATGGGCAGGCCTCCACTGTTACCAGCCTCCCAGAATACAGGGGCTGACTATGCCCCCGAGAAACCCCACAGCCCCGCCCCAGGAAGCACGACCCTTGGGGATGGAGCCAGGTTTGGCTGATACAGACCCAATTCCTCGGACAAGAAAGTAGAGCGGCCTGCAGAAGAAACCCAGGTCTTTTTGCTTTGTTTGGTTTTGGGGCCACACCCGACTGTGCTTGGAGATGACTCTTGGCTCTGTGCTCAGGAATCACCCCTCACAGGGCTCAGGGGACCTCATGGGGTACCCGGATTGAACCTGTGCTAGCCATAGGCAAGACAAGTGCCCTCCCCGTAGACTCTCTCTCCAAAACCCAAAACTTCAACCTTCGTGAGCAGCAGGATTGGGACTTCGAAGCACCTGCTTCCTGCTCCGTGATTCGGGGATAACTCACCTGCAGAGTATCAGTGTTGGGGAGAAGCCGTCAGTGTCTGCCATCTGCACCTGCTCGCCTGACTGTGGGTGAGTCTGCCTGCCTGCCTTGCCTACCCAATTACGTACCTCACGTGGTCCTCTTCCAAGTATTTCATGGGGTGGACTTTGAGCTCGGATGCCTGTGCTCTCCCCAATCCACTCTTTCTCCTTGCAAAGAATAGAGCCCCTGGGGGCTGGAGTGATAGCACAGCAGGTAGAGCATTTGCCTTGCAAGTGACCAACCTGGGTTCGATTCCCAGCACCCCATATAGTCCCCTGAGCATCACCAGGAGTAATTCCTGAGTGCAGAGCCAAGAATAACCCCTGAGCATTGCTGGGTGTGACCCAAAAAGCAAAAAAAGAAAACAAAACAAAACAAAAAACCAAATGGAGCTCTTGGGCCCCTCTCTGCCCTCAGACCCTCTCCGCCCTCAGCCTCCCTCCCGTCTGAGCTCTCCTGTGCCCATGGGAACAGGGAGATACTGACTACAGAAAGGATGCCCCTGGACCATGACCAATGTTCCTGCCCCATCCACACACCTTTCCTCCGGACTTGCTCCACTTGCTCTCCTCAGCTCTTGCAGGCTGAGGACAAGCCCAAGGAACCTCAGGAGTCCATGAATCAGCTGCCACCATGGGCGGACCCCACTGTTACCAGCCTATTCCAGCAAAGCCAAGAAGCAGGATCCCCAGCCACCCAGCCAGGTTCACTCCCAGAGGTCTCCCTTCTAGTGGGGTGAGCAGGGACCTGTTTGGCCGAGAGTGGGACACAGCAGGTTCTGAATGTGAATTTCCCTAATGGAGCTTAGTTGGTCTGCGGGCACCTCTCAAGACCCCCTCTGGGGTGCACCTTCCTCGGGGGAGAAGGACCTGGTGGGGGACTTTCCCTACCCCCTCCAGCCAGAAGTTCCCAGAAGGGCTCCTGTCTTACATTACCTCTGCGCTTACTGTCCTGACAAGTGGAACATGCCCATCTCCTTCCATTCCTGAGTCTCCTGCTGGTCCAGGGGCTCCTGCCTCAATGAGGAGGGAAGAAGCATGGTAAGAAGACAGCATGGGGTTTCCAGTCAGGAGCCATTCACACTTAAGTCAATCCACTCAGCTATCAAGAGTGTTGACCCCAGGGGCGCCAGAACCAGGCCCTGGAGTCCCAGAGGAAGGGGGTCCCTCTCCGAAGACACAAGTCCTGGCCACGCCTGGTCTGACTACTTGCAGGAACACATCTCCTCCTGGTCCTACCAGCTCCAACCTCTGCGAAGGGGCTGAGCGGACCTTCGCAACAGCCTACCTTAAGTTTTTAGTTTTTGGACCACAGCTGGTAGTGCTGGGGGCTGCCCGCCGTGTGGCGCTTGAACACTTACAGCAGTACTCACGGCTCCCCACTCCCACCCTGCCATCCTGGGGAGTGGGGGGGGGGGGGGACTCAGAAGTCCAAACCCAGCTCTGCCACCAGCAAAGCATGCCCTCTAGCCCCCCACCCCCACCCCCCAGATGACAGACATCTCCTAGGGACGCCCCCAGAAAGCAGGAAGAGCTGGACAGGGAGTCTTTGACTGTGGGGCTCTTGGGGCCAGCCCCTCCCTGTCTCAGCGTCCCCCTTCCACCCCCGCCACCCCTCACCGTCCCTCTGGACAGGAGAAGAGTCGGGAGAGGCTCTGACTGGGCCTCGGGCCTCGTGCTGAGCTGACTCGGATCCAACTCACGCCGCTGAGCTCGTCTCTGAGCCCGGGTTCAGACGGGCACCTGCGTGACCCTTACTCAGCAAGCGACACAGGAACCTGGGCATACAGGCTGCTGGCTGTCAGGGGCAGGCAGCCCTGGAAGGCTGGGCAGAGGGGACATTGACGCCCCCCATCCAACCACCATCCCGGAGCAGGGCAAGTGTGGAGTTGAAGTCGGGGCCCCAGAGAGAGTTGGGGGGTCTCCTGCTTCCTTTACCCAAACAGAAAGTACAGGTCTGAAAGGCTCTGTGGGGTCTTTCCCTGTACTTCTGGGTCCCCAGAGCTGGAGTCTGCAGTCAGAACACACGTGCCCGGCCACGCAACCTCTCACTGCAGAGCTGCTATGGGGTTCAACCTCTTTGTTCTGGGGGAGGGGTGCTCAGGGGTCACTCCTGGCTACGGGACAGAACAAACCTAGGCCAGCTGCTTGTAAGGCAGGTGTCCGGCACTGTCCTGTCCACATAGGCCCAGACTCACACCATCCTCCCAGCAGACCCAGTTCCAACTCCCTCCAGCTTGGGAGCCCAACTTCTCCTCCGAAGAGCGTCTCACAGGAGATAGGGGGTTGGGGGGCCCTGGGCCACTCCCGGCCAGCAACAGGCAGAGAGTTCTGGCCCAGGCCCTGAAGGTCTTTCACCCTGACCACCAGAAGGGCACCTGGAAATGTGCCCCCCCCCCACACACACATACATACTCACACACACATACACACATACACACTCACACACACATACACATTCACACACACGTACACACGCACCAGAGAAACACATAGGCACACACACATAGACACACATACACATGTACACACACACTCACACACATTCACACACACACACCCCAGAGAAACACACAGGCACACATACACACATAGACATTCACACATACACACACACAAACCAGTAAAACACACAGGCACAGATACACACTCACACACAGACATGCACACATACACACTTACACACACCAGTGAAACACACAGGCACACACAGAGAGACACACACACAAACACCAGAGACACACACGAATATATAGAAACATACACAGAGAGACAACACATACAGGTACAGACATACAAACAGACACACAAACAGACACATACACACAGACATACACAGAAGTCCCTTGAGCTCCAGCACCCTCTGCCAGCTTCAGCGAGCTTAGGCAGGTGGTCTGTTTGCCCAGGTGTCCTTCTCAGGCCAGCTGCTGCTGTCGCAGTTACTTTTGATCTGCCGTGGCTTGAGCCGGTGCCCACAGAACTAGCCGTCTGTGTGGGGTGTAGGCGAGCTGCACCCGAGGGTGGCCCCTTCCAACGTGGCCCAGAGAGGCAAGAGAAAGGTCACAGAGGAGATGGCAAGCATCAGGAGGTGGGGATCCTGAGTTGTGGACAGTGGGCATAGGGACAGACACGACCACCAGTGGGGAACCAGGCAGATCCCCACCAGGAGACCCTCACGTGGAAAGGGGAAAGGCGAGGCTTGTCAGCACTGCCCTCTCAGAGGCTGCCTGTCTTGGGGTTTAATGCCTGCAGCAAGGGAAATGCCATTTTTCAGCCATGCTGAGGTCTCAGGGTCAGGGCCTCTGTCCTCTGCCCCCTGGCCTCTTCCCTCCTTGCCTCATTCATCCAGCTGCCCATGGGGAGCACCTCCTGGAAGCTGGACCCCGATAGTGCAGGGGGAAGCTGGCACCCCTGCCAGTGGCTGCTTTCTGCCCTCCTGTGATCGCCAACCATCTCCCTAGCACAGCATTCAATTGGGTACCAGAAGCCCTAAGCAGCAGAGCCTCCCTATGACCCCACTGACCTGTTCCTTTCCACCAGGAAGGGGTTTCCGGTGCCCCCTGCGAAGTTCTAAGGTTGAAGTTAGATTAAAGCAGTTTTTATTCCCCTCTCTGTCCCATTGTTTTCCATCATGGAAAAGAAGCATCCCCTGGCCCTTCCATATTTGTTCTGTGACCCAAGTCCTGACAAGAGCCTCCCAGAACCTAAAGGATACATTCCTTCCCACCCCCCCACACACACACCTCTAATCTCTTTTCCCTCTCATTCCACCTTTTGATATTACCCAAACAGACTTGATGACAACCCCCAGGGCCTTTGCACATTCTTTTTTCACTCATAGCTTGCCTTCCACCATCACCTCCATCACAAGGCTCCCTGTCCCAGATTTTTAATCAAATATAACCTTCTCAATATGGCCAGCACCCACTAATACCCACACACCTTTTCCTTACTCTTGCTTGGTTTTCTCCCAGAAATTAATCAATGATAACTTCTTAGCATTTGCACTGCAAAGCATAGTACCTAAAATGAGACACACACACACACACAGAGAGAGAGAGAGAGAGAGAGAGAGAGAGAGAGAGAGAGAGGAGAGATGCCTGTCATGGAGACAGACTGAAGTGGGGTGTGGTTTAGGAGAGGTTGAGGGGAAACTGGGGACATTACACTGGTGGAGGGATGGGTTTTGGAATAGTGTATGAATGAAACCCAATCATGAACAGCTTTGTAATGTTTTATTTCATGGTGATTAAATAAAAATAAAAAATTTGAAAATATAAATGCTTTGGTGTTTTATTTTTCTAGGGCTAACATAACAAGATTCCATAGAATGGAAAGATTTAACATAGACATTTATGGCATACTCCTGAAGGATAGGAGTCTGAATTTAAGACAGCAAAGGACTGGTTATTTGTCAGGGCTATGAGGTGGAAGTCTGCTTAAGATAATTTCCTTGCTGGTTTCATCACATTGGCATAGCATCACTTTAGAATATCCCCTTAACCTTATGATCCACATTTCACTTGATAATCATTGTGTGTCATTTTTATTTGCAAAAAAAGTAGAATACGACCATTATGTGAAATTTCTACAAAGCTGTGTTAATATTATTTTTAAACAAAGGTGCAACAATTCTCCAGTGAGTGCAGAGATAAAATATTGATGTCAGGCACCACAGCTGCTGGTTTCAGGCACACTGAGGGCACAACTGGTGCACAGGGGTGGGGGTAGGAGGGTTGGGGGGTTCGAGGAAGCAGCCCTTGGGACAGGAGGCATGCATAGAGGGAAGGAGGGCAGGGAGATGGATAAACTGACCATCATCTCAGGATGTCTCTTTCTGGCCATTCATATCTTCACCATCACAGTATCACCAACCCCAACTGAATCAGCACCGGGGAGTCAGCAGAACAGAATACATCATGTAAGGACACAGCTAGCAGGACAAGTAGAGTGGTGGCGACTCTCAGAATTCTGAACTGTGGGGTCACGATGGCACAGAAACTCTCCATAATTTGGGGGGAATGAATCTAAGTGCCAGTTCTTAAAAATAGCACCGTTCATGGCCAGGCTGGCTTCTGGAATTGTGTTAGAATCCCAGGTTTCCGCCTTTCCAAGTGAAAGGCTTGGGCATCTGGCAGCTCCTGAAACTTGTAGCCAGATGGGTGTTCACTCTGTGCCCAGAAGCCATGACAAGACTGAAAAATCACCATCACCCCCATGGCTCAGAGCATGGACAACAGAACCACTGTGGGACTCCAAGGACCCACCATGAGTGGCCAGCTTGGGTCGCTGAGGTCTCCAGAAACTCACACATCTCCTCTGTCTGTGCCAAAACCATGCCAAGACTAAAACCCACTGCTGCTCCCGTGGCTCAGCTGATAGCAAGGAGGCTCCACTGCCATTTTTTCCCCAGACTGGCTTGTGCTGCCTGCAGCATATAATAAAGGAAAATCTCCCTGAGCTCCAACTGTCTGGAGACCCAGTAACAGGGTGTGTGACCCCCGACTCAGGCTGTGCTGGATTGGTGGCTACAGTCCACAAGGAGTGTCTAGACTGTGGATTGCCACAGCCTTGGCCTCAGCCCTGGTTCCTATGTGGCTGCTGCTGCCATGGCCACTGGGGCACAGGGAACGTGA